CATTCGTTGAGTGCTGCAGCCAAACATTTCACTTTGTCTCAAAAACACAGACTTACCTTAATCTGTTTTGTTTTATTGTTCAGTTTGTATTCCACGCTTCCATTACAATTGTAAGCAAGGCAGCTAAGAACAAAAACCAGAAAACGTACAAATTACAATTCCAACATTAATCAACTAAAACACACCCCATGAAACACAAATATAAAACCATAAATTAAAATGTATATTAAAGCATTTATGGAAAGTATGGCAGGACTTGAGACCTGCTTTCTTTTCTATGTAAGCAGATGGGGGTGGGGGTGGAAATATATGTCCCCTGTATCATGGCTTAGTTGTTTAAGAATAATAAACAGACTGTCTTACCTGAGAACTTGAACTTCCTCCCTTCTTCATTCTGCAGTATTAAATATTTCCGTGCTGTGTTATCATAAAGAGCCATAAAGGACTAAGGCACAATGCTATTATTTATTCATTTATTAAGTTAGCATTTACAGAATGTGTATACCACTCCATATCTAGGCAGATTTTGCAGTGGTGAACAGATAAAAGAATAAAAGCAATAAAGAATAAAAACAATACATTAAACACAGGATAACATTAACACTGTGGCTGGTCAGTAAGAGCATCCCAAACACTGGGGCTTGTACTCACCTCCCCATCTTCCCACCCTGCCTTTTTGTTAGACATGCTTTTTGCCTGTCTAGTGAAAGCATTTGGAGGAAGTTTGAGAGATGCCAGGATAGCGTGTAGCCAGATTTTACCAGTTTCCTCGCTTCACCCCCATACAGCCCCTTTTCCCATTTCCAGGTGAGGAAACAGGTGGCAGAGCACCTGCCTCTGATATTGGATCTGGTACATCCAAAGTATCTCGTGCCCCTCAGACACTGTCTAGGGGCTATAGGCCTGCTTCAAAATGGTCTTTGCTTAGACTGATGGCCAAATCTGATTTGCCAATTGTGGCTGAGTGGCAGTGCTTAAAGTTGCAACGTTTGTCAGTATCTAGGTTTGTCCCTGCAACTTTTGAAGCGTCAGCATCTCCCTTGCTGTTGGAGGCACTGAGCTTGATCAGGAAAAGTCACCAAAGCCCACTGGATTGTACCGTTTGCCTAATCAATGGATGGCTTCTGTGAAATCTGTATCTAATGCGTTTTTGGATCTCAGGTTGTTCATATTCAGCAAAATCTTTATACCACAATATTTGTCTAAGTGGAACACAGGTAATTACTTGGCAATGCCCTGTAGTTGTCTCCCTTTTAGGAGGAGGTTTTGTGCATAATTTTGTATTGGAGCATTCCTTAATACACTCTTCTAAATTATCTACCTCCGTCCTGGAAATTAATGCATGGTCAGCACAAACAGATTCCTTGTGCCCTTCTGACAGCTCAAAGACAGATATCGCAAGATTGGAAGAATAAACAATCTTTTCCTATAATGCAATGGATTGAAGACCATTCAGTCCTTTCAACACCAAATGGGTGGTATGTAGATCTGCAAATGGACACTTACTTAGATATTTGGTCTTTTTTTGGTTGATGTATAGAATAAACTTTATTTTGCTATAGATTCAATTCTATGTAGCCAATTTTTTGTTTTCACCTTCTCTTTCATTGAATGTCTAAGCAGGGCAGAGGAGAGAGAGAGGAGTGAATATGGGAAAAACAGACACCTACTTTCTGCTAGCCTGTGGAAGTAGCAGTTCTCTCTACGGCTGTTACCTGGGTGCTCATGGGATGGGAGGAAGGCTCTACTTAGGTACATTGAATAAAATCCAGCATAAATACTAGAGTAGACCAAGTGAAATGAATGGGACTTAAGTCAGAAATGACTAACTTAATTTTCATTTCCTTTGGTGGATGTACTCTAACTAGGACTTATGCTGGGTTTTACCCTATGTGCAAACAGTTTGCAGTGATGTTGGGCTTGCTGGCAAGGGATGGTGAACAGCAACATTTAGCTCTTTCCTCCTAATACAGCATCCTCTGCACATGCAGAATCAGACACTTTTGTTAGGAAAGTTTTGGTGGCCAAGGCTAAATGCATGCACAACACTTCAAATATTTTACCTCCTTATTTGCATACCAAATTGCATTGAGAATTAGCATTTAGATTGTTGCAATATTTTAATAGTTGAGATGTTTAGGAGAAAGAAACCTGGTTAACTAATCCAGCCTTCTCCTATCCATGGTCCTATCAATCTCAGTGCCAGCATTTCTCACCATTGGCTATGCCAGCTGCAGCTAGTGAGAATTGACGCCCAAAACACTTGGAGGGCATCCATTTGCAGAAGGCTGAGGGTTAGTATTTGGCTGAATTGGTAAGGAATTTGGTAGAAAATATGCAACGTAAATTTAACTATTAAATATGGTTGACACATCAAACTCAGTTTTTTATAATGATATAAAATGTATGTTTGAAATATGAAATAAAGTGCAAATAACTTTATCTGATAAAGCTAGCTTTAAATTACTAGATTATTTGTGTACTAAAGGCAATTTAGTAGAACTCATATAAAAACAAGCATTCAGTTCAATTGATGAATAAGCATCAAATTCCAGATGAATCTGTAACATGTCCCTTTTGGTTTGCTTTGGCCAGAAAAATAAGTAGTTCCAACATACTATAACAACAGATGTAAATGTATAATTAGTAATCTTTTTTAAAGCACTGAAATGTACTTTTTATAAAATACTTTCCATTTATAAATGTAATGCAGAATGAATGATAATTCATTTTTCCAAGAACAATGAATTTTTGAACAAAATATTTCCACAAAATCTCATTTAATCTTATTTTACAAATCACAATACGTTGGACTGCTCAATACAGTTTTATAAAATGACAATTTACCATCATAACAGGAGGAAAAAAAGAAATTAGAGAACCTGATTTCAGATCAGTCATAATGAATTTGGATAGGTCCCCCGCCAAAATAACCACTTTACATTTCAAGACCTAGTATAATTATTTATACTTTATAGTTTTTTAAGTGAATCAAATCAGAAATCTGCTATGCTATCCTGTAACTCCAAAGTTTATATATTTCCCAAAGTACTACTTGTTCACTTGTTGAATTCTGGATTCTCTTAATTTTGCAGTTAGTACCTATAAATCTTTATTGCTAGAAAACTGTAAGAGAACAACAATGGTCCAGTAGGAAATACTGCTTCAGAGCCTATTTTATAGAATCAGGCCCAATTAATACAATCAGATCGCACCTTGCCCTGGTAACATCTGCAAATAGGAATCAGGACAAAATGTTACCACTTTCCATGCTGGTACCACTCAAAGGAGAAGTAATGCTGGCACAGTAAGAACCCACGTTTCAAACATTTCTCTTGCCAATCATTACCAGAGCAATGCGTGATGCAACTTTGTGGCAGCAGTTTCTATAGAGCAATAGTAATGGAAGAGGCAGCCCCTCTGAGGATGACCTGAAGCTTTGTACCATGGCAATTTTGCATATTCACTGATTTGCCACACTGATTCCTGCAGTTCGGCGCACGAGGGGATCCCCAGCATACAATACATGTGCATGTTTAAAAACACCTATTTCCAGGAAAACATTCGAGAGGCCATGCCACTGAAGAGCAGCCATGGCTGCACACCAAAGCCCACAGACTTTTGGCACTTCAAGTGCATGTCTGAAGATTTCCTCAGTCTTTCCCCCCACTCCTAAGCGCTTCAGCAGATGCATATGTTGCAATGTCACTGCACAACACCTCAGCAATACTGCATAGGCATATTTGTTGCAGCACAACATAAATGCTTCTAATTCACAGAACTGGGAAATAATACTGATTACCTATCAAATACTTGGGTATTTTGAAGGCCAAGGAGTCAATTACATGACTTATCTTTATGCTTAAAGCACTGTGTAAAAGATCATTATCAAGACAGGTTTGGTTATTTAATAGACAGATCTTAATGCTGTTTTAAACTCTTAGAGGCATCAATCACAGTGACTGTTTGTTTTAAATAACAGGATCTTGTGGCTAACATTAACAAATTAGAAATACACAGTCAGCGCAAGGAGTCTTATGCCTCACTAAATCTCAAATTACATTGTTCCATCTTGGCGTATAGCTGTTAACAGAATTCACCTTAGAGAAATTATTACACACTGCCACTATGTTGTAGGATCCCAAGCCAACCACAAATGGAACTAGAAGTTAGCAACGGTGGATTCTTAGGTCTGTGAGAAAATAAAATGGTCACACTTAGGTCTGTGAGAAAATAAAATGGTCAAAATAAAATGATAGGAGAAAGATTCACTGTGTGACATTTAATGTAAACCTCAAAGCTCTGAAAGAAGAGCAGTGCCAAAACACCACTATGCAGCCAATGGTGGATATTTCAGCAGCATGGATACTTAAGTTATTCAAGGGGTTATATAGTGCAATCATATGCGTATTTAATTTGACATAAGTTCCACTGTGTTTGATAGGCTCATTCTCCTTGGGCAGCAATCCTCTGCACATTTACTTGGGGGTATTTTCCATTGAACTTAGCAGAGCTTCTGAGAAGACATGCACTCTTCATGTAAGCCCTATTCAGGCATTCCTGAAAGGGCTTAAGCAAAGAGTGGAGCAGGGGTGCCTAACCTGCCCCCAGCGGCACACTTGAGATGTTCCCTCACAGGTATCTCTGCCTCCTGTGCAGACATCTGGAGCCAGGGGTTCCATATACACACATTCCCCAGACATTCACAGATAGTAGGAGAGCAGTATCCGTTGATCCGTCAAGTTGGGTCGGGTTGAATAGTGCATCCTCCCACACTTAACCCATTTCAAGAATGCCTGAAGGCCAACTATCTCATCTGAAATAGGAAAAACAATGACACTCTTTGTTATGAACTATTTTCAGAGACTGCATGCGCATGTGCGCACACAGATGCACACACACAGGGTCCATTGCCTTCCAGATCTGAAATTTTCTCTACCTATAAATAGGTTAGGAAATATTTTTACTCACTCCTAGGAAGGAAAGCTCAGCTGCTAGGATGCCATTATACAAAAATCATTCATTTTCCCACATTAGATCACAATACAATGTGGCAATTCATATTAAACACCAGGCTAAGCATGCACAATATTCTGTGCACAAAATAGTACAACCCTCTCATTGATTTATATTTTATTCATGTTTACTTTTAGATTATGCATATTCTGTTCACCCAAGATGAGCAAAACTGGAAAAGAAAGCAGCAGGTATTTAAAAGTTTGAATGAAATCAAGCAGAAGTGAAATCTCAGTTGAACAACAAGAATAATAATAAAAAAGCTACAGCTCGTGAAATAGAGCTGCCTTAACCTGCTGTGGTCATTATTCTATTTAAAGGGGAAAAGAGGATTCATATGAACAAGTAGCTAATAATATGCAGAAAGAGTGACCCCTAGTGGATTGACAGGCCTCACTGTGATAGCTACATTTCTAAGATCTGGCCTACAATCAGCTCCAATCAGTGTTTGGCAAAAGAAGGCACAAATCATTGCAAAGACCAGATTTCTTCATTTTCCTTTAAACTCACTATTTGTACACAAACTTAAAATTCATCTTGTAGATCATTTTTGGACATAAGATTGCATATGTAATAGTATTTAAAATAACACAAATTAAGCTCTATGTGAAGCAAAAGGAGATAGAAAGAGAGATAAACAAACGGCCCCGCACCCAAATATCAACATTCATTTCTGGCTATATGCAATACAAACATTTTAAGAATCTGTGTGACAAAAGACAATTTAAAAAGTCAAAATCATAAAACCTGTAAACTGATAAACCTGAAGTACATTTTACTTATGGAAAATATCATTAAAATAGTACCACTATGAACTAAACTGCCTGAGTTTTCATTTTGCCTGTGAACTTGAAGGAGAGAAGACTTTAGCACAGTAAGAACAATTTCAGTCACACCAGTGCCATAACAGAGCAACTTTTCACTGGGATTTGTGTTGTGCTATTAAAACTCTTGTGCTAGTTGTTCAAACAAAGGATGTGGGCAGATCTTTAATCATTTGGCACAAAGTTATTTTGTCTGGGGCATAAAAGTCTCTGTCACGATGATGAATAACACAACATTCCATCTATCCAGAATTCACTTTGATTGAAGAGCTTTCTTTATATCATTAACCTCCATCTACAAAAAAATAAATAAAAAAATAAAATCCACATTAAACAATTTCTGTGCAATAAATTATTTTATCAATTTTTATTACCAGCCAGTTGAAGCAGCAGAAGCTGTGGCAATATGCTGTACTTTCATCTTCAGAATGATTAAGAAAGGGACCAAAATTAAAGGAGCAGGTACCATATTGCCATTATATTAATATGATGCTATCTCCATTAGAATGCTTTGTAGAGGTCAGGTCAGTGTGAACCTCCAGATATTCTTGAATTTAGGAGAAAACAAAATTAATAGTCTGTCAATGAATTATGCATTATGTACTATGAGTTTACTACTACATGTTCTCCATGTTCAAAGACAGTGTACCTCATTGTGAGAAGCTAGGGGTAAAGAATACAGGAAGGCTGTCACCTTGTTATCCACGTGTAACTTTCCAGAAGCACATCATTTATTTATTTATTTATTAGATGCATATCCTATCCAATTAGCCAAAATGACTCTTTGAAGCACCTTTGTCTGATCAAACAATACAGTCCTTTGTCCTTTTCAACTTGGGACATGTATTTTTTAAATTTAACCATTAGAAGCATGTATTTAAAAACTCCCCCAGTGGGAAAAAAAATCACAAAGGATGCATGCACCCAGAATTGCACTAATTCAAGCAGAGATAGGTATCACTGGGACATATGCTGCCCCTAGGATCTCTTACAGTTCCCATCACCTTTTGAACAGCTGCCACCAAATGTTGACAAAATGACAAATATCACTTTTAAAGTGAGCACACATCTTATTTTAATAGCTAACCATGTTCTTCTGGGTCTTTCTGAAGCATTATTTGCCCTTAAAACAATTCAGCTTCAGTCTGGCCAGTCAGTGGTGATGTTCGTGGACTGGGGACTGTGTGTGTGTGAAAACTGGTCCCTGGCCCTTCTGAAGCTGCCCACTCCTGAATTAGAGATAAAGGTTGCAAGGGATGCTACAGGATCAGCAACATCAGTAGACCAGAATATACACTCTACAGACAGCCACAGAATGTCAGTTTTACAATCAGTGCCATCACTGAGGAGATACTATTTGAAAGTTGTGTGTCGTTTGGCCAGTCTGTTGGAGTTTTTTCCATAGGGACTAAAACCACTAAAACATGTACTAGATGGAAACTGTAAGCCATGAACAAAGTAACGCTCAACATAACTGGAGATACCACTATTCTCCAATTCTTCCTTCATTTATGCCTCTACTTTGAGTGTGTGTGTGACCATAATGGAACTCTTGTTATTAGCAAATATTCTCTGTGGTGTGTGGTCACAAAACTAAGAGTGGTTTTGTGTGTTTATTTAGCTATTTCACTGTATTTATGTTTTGTCTTTCAACTATAATGATTCTCATATTGGTTCACAATAATAAAATATGATTTATAGTTGTATATTGCCTTCATTACAATGGATTGGGAATAATTGGTGCTGGCAATAATTAAATACATACATAAAAATCAGATAGCTCTGGGCTCTGCTGCTCAGCAAACAGGAGGTATGGAAGGGATTATTCTGTGTGTTTGTATGGGAATTAGCACCATTTTGCTGTAGCAAAGAACAATACCTGTAATCGTAGCCTGATCTTTTTTTCTTCATCTAATTCAGACAGCAATTGTTTAATCTCTTTCCTAGAAAATAATAAAATAGAAATAATGGTATTATCAAGTCAATACACTGTTAGTTAATAATACTGAAAAGGTTCTAGTAGAGATTTGGTAACATCATAATCAAACATCTTAAGCAACAGCTAGATAGCTAGATAACAGGCAATTAAAAAAAAAAAAGAATAAGGGCAGCAATGAAGGTCTCCAATTCCAATCAGTGGCACAGGAGGGGAGGGTCACACGTTCTCCCCTGTGCCTGAGATCAGCTATTTACCCAATTAGGGATGGGACAGAGACAAAATGCAGGTACTATATGAGCCTTGTCTGTTTCTTGTTTACCTCTGTGAGATGGGAAAAAGAACATGGACAAAAGAGCTAAATATTCTTCCCACAATGACACAATCCAGATTTAAGTCTTTCTCTCCCTGCCCCCTCTTTCAGACATACGCATGCACACACTGTAACTGCATATATGCACATTGAAAAACTAGGAATACCAATTTACTACTCTCCTCCAAGGTCATTTTATGTTGTCTTAAACTTATGCCACCATTTTTGCAGTATTATTATTTCCATACCACCCATAGCCAAAGCTCTCTGAGGGGTTCAAACATTTGGGGTGGCTACTACATGTCACACATTTCACAAACACAAATTAAACAAAAGACACACACACATAGAAAGTCAGTCTGATTGTGCTTGGCCTGCTGTTGTGGCTGCTAACTACAGATGGAACAGAGGCTTGGCTCTCATCTCCTTCCATTTCCATGCCACTGCACTTATTTATTTATTTTAAATTTCTTATATACCTTCTGATTATTATTTATGATGTTTTACATAAAATGCTCAAATGCTCCAATATGTTCTCTCAGCTGTCAGAAAACAGGTCTCGCCCATTTGTTTCTTCTCTCATTAGCATTTTTCTGCATGCATGCAGCAAAGATTTAAAAATAAATCCAGGATAGAGACTGGCTCAAGATGGTCTCCTTACTGCACATCTCCTTCCTTGATTGATCCATTCAGGACCTATGGGATGGACTATGCTCATTTATGGCATCCAGGCAATTTAGTGCATTCTACTAACTTTCCTGAATGCTTGAAGATTATCTTGCACTTGTATGCTGCTCTAAGGGAGAAAAATCAAATTTACAGGAAGGACAATGAACAGAGCTTGACGCAGGTGGGAAGGACAGCACTGCTACTGACCCACCATGACTGCCTACACCAACAGCACTGGAAAGCTTAGCAACACTCACTTCTGCTGGTCTTTCATTGTTTCAATGATAGTTCGTAGCTCCTTAACTTGTGTTCTAAGCTCTTCCAAAGTTGCTTCACCTTGGCTGGAGTGATCAGTCTTTGGCTTTCCTTCAGTACTGAACAAAGAAGGGGAATTTGACCTGTGACCTGTTGTTCCTGCTGGAACCGGATGAAGAGCAGATGAGGATGATAATGAAGATGGAATATTACTTCCACTTGTTAAAACCCCTGGTTTGGCAGGTAATGAAGCTTTGTTATCAGATACCTATGAAAATAATGGCAGAAAAATGACACAGAAGTATTAGGATACCAACAATTACAACTTCAATTTGTTAGCTGTGTTTTTTGCTCTGCTCAGACACTAAAACAAAGCATTCCATCCAGATGTTTCATATAGTGGGACATGTAATAAACAGCACAATTTTATGCAGATACTCAAATGCATCCTTCCAAAATGATCTTAAAATCAAACTGATATGAGTCTGCCATGGTTGTCTGCTGAACGGGCAACCCATGGCAGATTTCAAAAAATGTTGCTTCAACCTGGGTCAGTGGGGAAAAAATAATCAAAAGATTCACCCAAACCTGCATGCCTGCCGCAATATGAAATAAATCTAAATTAAACAATAATACCTGTCAGTTTGTTGAATTATCAGGCACACCTAATCAACAGTGAAGCTCTAATAACATAAATACATGGTTATTTAGTTATTATATACATCCCTTTTCCCCTTCCAAGGAATTCAAGATTGCTTACATAATTTTCCTCTGAATGGTATCCTCAACAACAACCCTGAGAGGTAGGTTGGGCTAAGAGTCTGTGACTGGCCTAAAGCCACCCATGGCTGAGTGGGGACTAGAATCCAGATCACCTGAGTCCCAGTCGTGCACTCTCAGTGCACTTTCTTAGACTTCCTCAAAACAGATTAAGAGTAGGACGATGCTGCCTTGACTTCCTTGAAGGAAAAACAGGTGGAGCATAAATATAAATAGGCAGACTGGGAAAAGTCTGTGTGAAAAGGTAGGTCAATAAGGGGAAGTTGTGCGTTTGCTGAATGTACTGCATATGTGTAAGAAACAAAGTCAGAGTGTGTGTTTAGGGATGATGCCAAGGTAGAGTATGGAATTGGGGCAGCATGAAAAGAGAGTGCGGTGACATATAGTGAGGGTTATGTGGCCCTTCTGTGTTTTGAGTATGTGTGGTATGTGGATCCTGTGTGTAATTTGGAGGTGATTCTCCTAATAATTTAGGGAATGCGTTAGAATAAATTTACTTGAAAGGGGATTTACATAATTCAGCTTGTTTTTTGTGAAATGGGTAGTATGCGAGAGAAGAAAACTGCGCTTCAAATAAGGGATTTTGTATTTTGGAAATCAGTAGCCACCTCCATCTTGTAGCTGGATTCTTGGGAAGTGACTTATTGTTCAGATGCACCAGTTGGTCTTCAGTTAAATGGGGCTTTGTGGTAGGTCATGCCTGCTATGGCAGTGATTTTGTGAATGGGCAGATTTTCCTCCCTATACCAGGCATTTTGTAACAGTGCTCACAAAATCTCAGATGTGCCCATCTTCCCCCAAAAGATTAATTTCTAAACATTTTATCTGCAAGTTAGTCCCACTGAATCTGACAGAATTTACTTAGGCATGGACAGGTATAAGAATGCAATGTAAAAGACTGCAACAAGCAAGAATGGATGTCTTCACAAGAAAAAGAATTATGTTTCCAGGCATTTCAGAAGACAGAATTCTGTTTGATATATAGGGTTGACTTTTCATAGCAAAGGCACAGAGGACAATAAACTAAGTTTGAGAAACTTCGTCATAATATGATATCTTAGACATCATATCCTTATGTAGACATAATATTCTTTGAGCCTGTCACTGGCTTTCTAGCAATAACCTATATATAATGGAATATGGATTTAGGATTCTGTACATTACTCAGAAAATTCAGGTCATTCAGATCAACGTACAGGTCATTTTCATTTTCCCTTTCATTTTCTTTGGGAACTTTGCAGAATCAAGTGATCATGTGTCCCAACGTTGAGATGGAAAGACTATAGGAACAAGATTCTTTATTGCACATTGTATGATCTACATAGTTGTGTCCAACCAGAGTGGCACTGGCAATATTATATTAGAGATCATGGGTATCAGCCATCAGAATTACTACAAATAGCCTAAATAACTTACTAGCGATATTGTAACAGTCTTTGCTTTCTTTAATGGCTCAGCTACTTTTTGTGGAAGGGAAATGTGTTCTTCCTTTTCATCTTCAGGACTTGGTGAATCAAAAAAGTCTGGACTTGAAAGTGAAGACTGTGGAAATACAAGAATATATTAAAATGCCACTAATTCAGTAAACCACTTATAGAACTAGATGTTTATATAAATAGCTTCTTATGGACCACAACCGAAATATTCCTTTTACTAGGGTTGGGATGAATATTCAAACCAGTGTTGCTGAACCACAAAGCACAGACATTTACAGTTCATTGTGCTACCTAAAACATACATGTGCATGGAAAAGTGGGACTGCAGTGGGAGGACAGGTTTAAATCAAACACTCAGGGGTCAATTCTGGCCTTCCTGACATCCCAAAAAGGCCAAGCATCCTCTTCCACAATTGTGCAGTTGTTCCCATTGCCAGAGGCTGACGTATCTAACCAAGGCTTAGCTTCTAAGCACTAAGAGCTTTGAGTGAAAATGTATAGGCATTTTTGCTTTCATTTATTTTACCTTCATCCCTGTTTACTACCACTGAGAAGCAGTGGAAAGAAGGGGCAAGTGATGTTCAGATCAAGTAGGGCACTGCTTAATTCTTGCATATTTGTAAAGAACGTTTCTTGCTTTTGTGAATACCCTTCTTTGATTTCTTGCAAGTTTTGATTTATTTGCTGTGAACCACCAGAGAGTTTTGGCTATTGAGCAGCAAGAAGTAAAATAAATAAGTAACAATAAAAACAATAATCCCCTACAATTTTCACTTTTGTGTCTCTTCAGTTAATTTGCCAGCACAATATTGCCTTTGTTGCTTTTTCCAACTATTAGAGCCAAATAACATATAGCAAAAGGAAAATAGCTGCTAGTTTTGTTCATATGACTGTTCGCAGTGAGACATAAGACACGCACAGAGAGATTGTTAAATGCAATAAAGAAAATATACAGAGGACACTTACAGATGTGAATGACTGTGAAGGAGGTCTTCTGCCTGTAGCTTTTGGTCTGGTAGTTGTTGGGTGGCTGAGCTTCTCAGCGACTGGTACTACGGAATCAAACCCCTCCAGGTCTTGAAAACAGAAAAAAGGGTAGTGTGGGAGAAGAAGAGAAAGCAAACACTATTTTAAATATTAAGTTATTCAAGAAGGCATGCAAATATATTATTTCAAAACTGTTTTCTATATCTTATTAAATTATTACATTGAGGTATTTCAATATTAAGGGTATTTTTATGCATAAAACATTCTTTTATTAAAAAAATTCTAGCTTGCCTTTTTAATTTAAAAAACCCTAAGAGCACTATATGTTTTAAAATAACAGTACAAAAATAATTTAAAACCAATAAAAGTATAACATTTTATTTAAATATTGTGAGAATTATTAAATCATCAAATCCATTCATTCATATTAAAAGTACAGGAATTCTATTCATGTTTGCTCTGTTTCCAACCTGAATTTAAAAAGTAATGTATATAATCAAGCACAGATAGATTTTTCAACCAGCACTGAACTAAGATCAATGATTAATCTAGAAACTTTTTCGTAAGTGGTAGGAGCTCAGACAGATTTTTTGCTGTAATTTGAAAAAAAAATCAAATGACATTATTTAATTTTATAGTCAAACAAACCCAAGACAACACACTGACATTCAAAATGTCTCAAGTGAGACTTATTTACATAATTTATTTCCTTCACTTCTTAAGCAAATGCACCCTTTTTGCTTCTAATCCTTTCTTTGGGTCAATCATGATGCAGATTGGCTTTATGGAGTGCCATGTAACATTTGGGACTGCAGAGCATGATGTTCCAAGTTGATCCATGCAAAGATAAGGTGAAATAATGATGTATTGAGGGGCAGCCTCCTATTAGATTTGTGATGTCCAAAAGCCTGAATTTATTATCTGAAGCACAACAAAAAAGCTAAACTTTTATAGGAAAAAAAAATAATACAGGGTTTTCTTTTAGCACCATCATTACCAGTTGAGCAGAGTGGAGCAAGATCAGGTAAGGTGACTCACCTCATGGCACAACAATGTCACACCAGCTTGATTCTGATGTGCTTCTTTTCAGCCTTAATATCATGCTAATATACAGAAAGGGAAAAGCAACAATTTGCTACATTGGATTGGGTCCGCAGCTGTATGAGTGGAGGTCCACTTACACAATGGGCTTTCCTTCTGTCTCCTTCTCACTGCAACCCTTTGCATAGCCTCTCCTGATGGGTGAGAAAGGCCTGGGATGTATCACATAGCAGAAATAACCGGTTCCCTGCACCCTCTCCCAAGTCTCCAAAAAGGAGAGGCTTTGGGGAAGGGCACAGGGGGTAGTGCAGGTATGAAGGGGACAGAAAACAACCTGTGCATGAGTGGATGTCCACTTCTGAAAACACAGGTACTTCTCACTTTTTAATTCTCAGCCTATCTACCAAGGGACTTTAACTGAATAGCTAACTGATCCTGGCAAGCTCCAAAATACTCAGCGATGGGATGCTTATTAAGTCTTATAGTTTATCCCTATACTAGCTTATCTTTATTAATCATTCCTATTAATACTTCTTTCAGGCACTACATAATCTGTTTTGGACCAGAGCAATCAAATCACATCAGCAGGGACACAACTAAGGACATGCATGCCGTACTTGAGAGTATTACAGGGTTCATGTCCTTAAATGCTGAGAGAGGGAAAGGGCTGCCGCCCAAACTAACGCTTAGCTGTAGAGTCTTCCTGACAGCAGGCTCTACACAGGTGCAGAGCCCCTCTGTGTGATGCACAGAGACCACGAAGAAGAACATCTGAAGGTTACATCTCTAAGTTTACATTTCCTCAGCATGGTTTTATACTGTCTTTCAAACTTAGCAGATCAAAAGATTCTCCCTGCATGCTTCACCTTTCAAATAATCAAATATCAAAACCAAACCAGGTTTGATAGTGACAAAGGATTCCAGTACTAGTGTAAGACAGTGAAACATTCTGCCCTGAAATTTTCATCAGTGGTGTGGACGCTTTGACTGGCTGCTCTCAGTATAATCCCACCACTTTCCTCCATTGCCTTGCTAATCAGGAGTCTGCTGGGCAGCAAGGAACCAATTACTTGCCTGCCATTGCTAGGAAGTAGCAAATTTTATCAGGAACTTGGGGGGTGGGGTGTTTTAGCCTCATCCTGCCCAGAAAACGTTCCTTACATCTTACACGAAACTGTAGTCCGGTGTAAGAAGTAAAGAAAGTTAAATAACTTGCAGTTATCAATAGGCATTAATTAGTAGTGTATTACATTATTTTTAATCCTCTGAAGGCTTTTAAATTTCAATATTTTTCTTAAAATACGAATATGCATATATGTTTGGTTTTTAAAAAAACAGTCTCCCCTCCTTAAAAAGAAAAAAGTATTTCAGGAAATACTGAATTAAGACGTAAGACTGTAAACTTATTTAGAAAAAGCAGTACTACTGCTAGTAATAACAAATTCAGCTATTCATAACTATAGTTGCAAAACATTTCAAACACGAACAACAAGAATCCCAGTTGTTCAAATGGGTGAAGGTGTCCTTTGTGGTAAGCACTACCATACTAACAGAACTCACCAGCTGTTTCTAATTTATCAGGTGGCAAAACAAATCAAACAACATGTCAGAGCACTCACTTCCCCTCCTTAGAATTCCTTTCAATCTTTATTTTTGTATTACGGAGGTACAAGTATATGAAATATGTAACATAAACTCCAATCTCTCAGTTCCCCTGTAAATATTCCATGTGTTTTGTTCCAAAAAAGTGAAGTTTATGTATTGGGTTTTGGATAGTTGTTATTATTGAGCATTGTTCAGTATTGTTTTTCTTAAAAAATTGATCTAGAGAAAGAAAGGACCTGCTACTGGTATCATTGTTGTACCGTCTCTTCTAATGTGCCAAATAAACAAATACCACATGTCCTCAAAATCATTCATTCAGTCAAGTCAGTCCTAAAAATCATTCATTAAAAGTTTTTTTAAGCCATCCACTACTAGCGTCTCAGGATGCCTTACTATAAAAATGAATGGAATAGAACAAAGCACCACAGCATCTGACAGTTTGAGATAATAAAACCCCAGTTAAAATCAATCAAACTTTAAAATGACAGGAATATAAAAAGGGGGTTGCCTGATGCTGAAAAGTATATAACGTTGGCGCCAGGCGAACCTCTCTGGGAGTGCATTCCATAGTCAGGGTGCCACTGCAGAGAAGGCCCTCCTCCAGGTAGTCACCCTCCTAATCTCCTTTAAGGAGGGCTCCCAGAGCAGGACCTCCACCTCAGATCTCAAGGGGCAGGAGGGCACATAGGAAAAGTCATCAAAATCATTGTTATCTCTCATGTTTTTCAGAATCTTAAGTTGCTCTGATAAGTTGCCTTCCATGAAGGTAATGTCCTTCCTTAGAAGTCTTGATATTAACAACAGATGACAACAACAAATGTGGTATCTGTTTGAAGTAGATTCTTCATTAAGTTAACATTTTCAGACTCAGAGAATCTCTGAAAATATTTAATAGTAAGGAACCAGCCATAGAAAGCAGTATGATGTGCCCAGACAAACTTTATATTCACAGAAAATGGGAATGCATATTCAACCATTTTATTAGTTTGGAAAAACAAGAATCAATGATAGAATGTATGTTTTAAGTCTTGTGAATTCAATTTGTATTCTTGTATGATAGGCCATCTGTTTCAGAAATAAGTGCCCATTTGCAGCATTATTGACCTATTAACAAATACATATTAAGAATTTCCATAATAGTTCACATGAAAGCAGGAAAATAGTACCATCGTGCTTAGAGTGATCTCTGTTTCCTTTTATTTCCTTATTTTAAGCATAATGCACATTGTCTGTTCACATGGTTAGATAAAATGCAGCCTAGCAATTATCACAGAAAAGTGAGCAGAAGCGGTATGGAACACAACACGTAAAATGACTAGGTAGGCTGAGCCTACCTATGAGGAAGGTACACATATAAGGAAGAGCCTCGCCACAGTCTGGGCGGATGCACAGGTGGAAACTCAGCACAGTATAATAGTCTAGTAACACAAAGAGAGGGTGTGGAAGCTCGTTGCAATATGAGCCAGAGGAAGCCACCCCTCAGCTGTTGTATCTGAATAAAGCTTTGACTACAGAGATGCCTCTATTGGCTTGAGTCCTCTCAGGAAAGAACTTCAGGGTATTTTTTACCTAACAACATCACATTCACCTATCCCCTCTACAAAACAAGTTCTCTCTGGACACCTTGAACTTAGTAGCAGCTTCCTATGTTTTGGCATTTCTTTAATCTATAAAGAATTCTTGCACATTCGTCAGAGATTGGGCCATATATTTGATGAATTACCTTAAACATTGGTTCAACACACAAAGTCTTCGAAAATCCAATTAAAATTATAGTATGGGTTTATATTATTCCTGGAGATGTGTGAAAAAAATCAACTATTTTTAAATAATATCCACACATTGGAAATAACCCATAAGGCTAATGAGCAGATGGTTCCTTTCTCTTTTTTATTACCAAGAGACCCCTTCAAAAACATGTAACCCCAGAATGTGCATGGAGCGGTTCCCTTATCAAAGATAAGAAGTCCTGGGAAATACATCGTGCTGGTCCAATGTGCATGCATTTTATTTTATAGTAAAGATGGACTTGTGCTATCTCCATAAAGCTTTTGATTTAACATATAACAAAATTCCAAACATGTAGGTTAAAACATTAGGAAGGAAACAAATGCCATGAGAGTTTTCAACAATGGCCATATAGAATGGGTATACATAAAATTCAACATTTGCAGAAGCTTTATGTTAACAATTATTGAACAAAACTGTTTATGCAACGACAAAAGGGGCAAAGAGAATGGTGCACTACATGCTATTCATTCTAAGAGAGGATAATGACAGGACAGACAGAAGGTGGAAACAGCCTTACCATCATCAAGTGAAGAAGAATTACCCATGGTAAAGGGATGTAAATGGGGAAAGCTTGAAGAAATGTGAGTGGAAAGGAAAAGAAAGGCACCACTGAAAATGTAGAAAAAGAAGAGAAAAGAAAAAAAAGTGTGAGGAGTAAAGGGAATAGAATTCTATAGAAACACTTAACAATACGACTTAACAGTTATCTTCCTTATTAAGCAGGAGAGATTGTGGGCTATAGACAAAGCTGGATATATACTTTTATCTATTAATTTTCAAATTAAAAATACATATAAAATAAAAATGGCCACTGATGAAATAATTCTATTCTGTTAGGTATAAATGCTGAAGTCTGTGTGCCAAGACAATTACAACAAAGCAAATGCATCCTCAGAGGATCCATGTCACATATAAATAATCACAATTTAGTTGCATTTGACTTGATAGCAAACACAACAGTTGCCTTTCCAAGCAGGCTGCAAAATTATGGATAGGATACTATTCCCACCCCTCCTTCCAATACTACGATGTGATGTGATTTTTGTTTTAATTTGCCCAACAGACTTGCCAACAGCTAGTATTTCTGAACCAAAAAATGTTCAATTTTTGTTTTAAGGATTGCACTAAAGGGTATCCTTCTTGGGGTTATCACCATGTAAATGAGAGTTGTAAGAACATTTCTCATATCATTTCACTTTAATTCTATCTGCTGTCAATCCATTGGCATATATAAATCAAAGTACTCCTTTATCTCTACCTTTTTCATTCACAACAGTCTAGTACCACTAAGAAATACTTGAATAATCCACTATCCCTTTCCTAACTCCTTTTGATAAATATATTAAGCATCTTCACACCTCTCATTTTATAGTACAGCAAGCAAAGAGCTTTTGGTTTTCACTTAAGTTTGTATCTTAATATTGGCTTTCTTAATTACTTTAACAGCCATCAAAACTCTTACAAAAATACAAACAGACTATGCACCATGCTATGTATAATGCAGTGTTAATATGCTCTTTTTAATTCCAGTGATTAGAAGTCTTCAATTGCCATGCTCTGACCCTTATTTATTCCTAAAACATGTTGCGACCTTATTGTTTATTCCTATTTATTCCTAAAACATTTTGCAACTTTGATTCAATTAGTTCACTCCAGCAGAAATAAATCATGTGAGTCATGTTCTTCTCATTTTTTCTGAGGTTTGTAATTGACTTTTAAACTCAATTAAACTAGGACCCCATTCAAATTTTAACAGCTTATTCATTAATGTTATTTTAATGATTAGAAAATGTTGGCCTTTTACCCCTTGCTAACATTAGAATATATTCATGAATGCTTTTTTTAAAAGTTGCTGAATATGAACATATGGTTATATAAGAAATCCTGGAAATAATAAAAGGCTCACAAAATTGGAAAACATTTTGCATCCTAAGGGCACTTATTGCTACCCAAAGCAGAAAATATTATATATTATTATTTATAAAAGCTTCTAGGCACTCACTATACAACAACTGAATATATTAAATGTGTCCATTTAAGAAGCATGCAATTTATTTGTAATTCACTTATCATTATATTCCTAGTGAAAAGTTTCCCTGGAAAAACACCATTTAGGAAGAATCACCTCACAACCAAAGACTCTAGCAGGAAAACGCACAAGAAACAGATTAAATATTGAGAGCAATCTTATTTTTTAATACATTGGCAGCCTGATTGCAAATGTGTTTACTTGAAATTGAGTCCTATTGACATTAATCTGACTTACTTCCTAGTGAGTATACTTCAGACTGCAGCCTAATTGTTAAAAATGTGGTTTAAAAAGTTATAACCGTTGCAAATAAATGCAAAATTTCTAGGTCTGGAGAAAAGGAAGATTAATCTCTGCAGTACATTTTAGCAACATGTGCTCTATGAAGTAACCACAACATAAAAACAACAGTGCATGCTACCAATGAAATGTAGTAATGCTTACAATTTAGGATCAAAGACTCTGCCTCCTACAAAAACATGTCTGCTTCTGCACCACAGTTGTTACTGAACTGAGTGACTGAAGCAGATGACATTGAAATATTTCCATCTGAAAATGACACTGGGTTTGCTTACAGAGATATGAATACAGTCAGCACACCTCACTTTCTTGTGAAAGTCCACTACCCTACCAACCCACCTCTTATGACCTGCAAATCTGTGACAAAGGGAATCCTGAAAATGCATTCATTTCTCAAGGTGCCTTACGTATTTAAATGTCAATTCATTTAGAAAGTCTAAACAATTTTGTAACTACCACACACCTCTATAGCTCCTTTTGAAACAGCAGCAAACAATCTTACACAACCTAAACTGCAAAATGATTAGGAATCACGGGAAGATAATAAAGCATTTCAAATGTTCTGTACCCAATTGCCTGTACTTTATAGGAATATTAAAAATTACTAAATGAATCTACAAATTACCGATGTAAAAGCACTGCATGATTTTATCAATATTGCAAGGTTAATGCACATTTTGGAGGTAGATCAAGTATAAAAAGCACTTCATCTTACCAATGTCATTGCTTCTTTCCGTAGAGTCCTTTTCTAAGGTGCTCGACAATGTACAGCCTACTAGTTCTACTTTTGGGATATCACTTCTGTAATCAGAAACAAAAGAGACATCTACTGGAATTGCCTGTTAAAGTCAATTTTTAGCCTGCATCTTATAAACTGGTAAAAAAGAAGCATTCCTCGTGTGCAGCTCTCTGGTCTCAGCAAGCTGGCAGAGAAAGCCATCTCTTGTATACCGACGTGCTGCTTGGATTAACCTTATCTTATTTCTCTTTAACACCTGTCAAAAGGGCCTATTTTAGACACACTGGTGTCCTAAATGATTTCTCAAATGTTAGCCTTATCTTGAGAAGAAGAAAATAAATAGGATGCCTTTTGATCACTGATTTATAAGAATAATTCCTGTCCTTGAATCTTAGTGATATGAAAGGCAACATGTACTGCAGGACCATTTACTAGAAAAAAATGTGCAAAGTGTCAAACTGTGATAATGGGGTTAAGCTCTCCCCAATTCTGCTGCTGGCCACAGCATTTACAACGTGATTGGTTCCCTTCCCAAGGCTCTAATTACTAAGGATTTTCTGAGGGCTATTTCAGGTGCATTTGTATGGTGGATGAACAGTAAATGTGGTGTTTTCTTTTTGAAAAGGAAAGAGAATAAATGTTGATTATAGCATATGCTGCTATTTTCTTGCTAGAGGCTGTCTACTCCCAGATACCACCAACCTCTTTGGGGAAAAAATAGCTAGAATATTTGCTCTGCATTTAATTCTGTTTTTAAATTCTGGGAATGTTTAGAAAAGTGTCATCCTTCTCTAAAGCTGAGTCAGTCTCTATCTAGTTAACACATGTATGGTATAGAATTTTTGCATTCCTACTTCAGTTGGTAATACAGACATGATTCCTGAATTAGACATTGTGCATTTTCTCTGGGGAAATAGGGACATTCCTTTCCAGAGAAGCTCGGGGAAAAGGTGGGTATATCTTGAGGGAAAGGGTAGTGCCAAACCTCCCAGATACCAGTACCAGTTTAAGCTGTTACTGCCAGTAACTATGCCTTGGAACAGGCGTTTCAACCTTTTAAAATGGGAAAAACTGCACAAAAGCCGAGAAACAACCAGGCCATAGGGGCATGGGGGTCATGGGTGAGGCTAGGGGAAGGGGGCATAACCTCCTGGGAAACTCGGGAGGGCCTCTGGACTATACCCTTACTATGGGAAATGTGAGAATTTATGGGGCGAGGGGTCTTCTTCCCCACAACTTTTTCATTCAAAACCACCTTCCGAGTCTTCTTCGCCTCTCCTATTTAGTAACTGTGCCTTTCAAGAAGGATGACAAATGTCAAGCCTTGTGCACACAAATCTTTCATACCCATCAGCTTAGGTATAAATTCAGCCTGGAGGTCAGATTACAGCCACACTCCATAGAACCTACAAGGGCAAACAGTTTTCTTCTATTATCATTGTCCAATAACCACAACCAATTCCTGACATCCTGGTTTTCACAACCAAATTAGCTTATCATAATTTTTTTAAGCCAAGGTGGGCTGTGGTGAATGATGGCACATTCTGAGTGGGATGGGCATATTCATTACCCGGATGTGGTGGGTTATGCTGTTTGAACCAATGATAGTTGTTTAAAAGACCCTCACATAACTCAACAACAGACCAGGAGTTATATGAGGGTTATTTAACCCACAGTTTCTGTAGCTGAAATGACAAGCTACAGCCCAGCACTGAATATTCAAAATGGCTGCCAGCATGTGGCAGCACATATTACAGCAGTAAGTCATAACTCCTTGGACAATGTCTAGTGACCACAGGATTGCTTCAAAAGTCACAGGATTTTGATTTAATTCAGAACTGTTCTCCACACAGATTTACCTGGAAGTAAGAACCCATGAAAAAAACCAATCTTCTCCTGAACAGATATACTGGGCGATTAGTGCTTAACAATATCTATCTATGCACAGGATTGTAGCACAAGATTTTAAGAATCATATAACTTAAACATCACTTATTATATCAGTTTATTTTAAAGAACTAATTAATCAAATACCTTGTATGGATCATAGGCACAATTGGTCTTTCTGGTCTTCTTGGAGGCAACGTACCAGGTCTGTTTAAAGAGTTTGTTTTGGGAGGTCGTGGTTTCTTCGGTGGTATAGCAGGAACAGAAGGTTTCTGCAAATCTAACAGTTTTTGCTCTCTCTCTGGTCTTTCTTCAAATCAATTTTCCCCAAAAGAATAAAGATATTTTTAAGCAGAACTATCTCACACACAGAAGCACCATCTTTATTGTGGCAACAACAACAACAAATGCATACATTTTATTTGCTGTAAGGTGGCGTGCACGCACGCACGCACACACACAATTTCTCAAACCTAACCAAATTATGTTTTGTACAGATTCATAACTTAGTATTTTTTTTAAAAAAATTGCAGAGTTCTGTATTACTGCAAATCTAAAGCTAGCTGACGTTCATCAAAAGTTCAGAATAGGCTCTTCAAAATCAGTGAGATTACTGGAAAACAATCTTATGAAGGTCAGAAAGTCATCCTAGATCTAAATGCTTCTGTGAATCCTTAGCTACCATTATAAATACTTTGCATTCATATCATATTTAAAAACACCCCAAAAATCATTGGGGTGGATGACTTGAACCTCCTCTTCTGATCCTCTTACAGTTCGTCACTGAGGAATGAGCCCCATGAATTGTTCTCTCATTGGACCCTTGCTGCTTCTACCACCACTTGGAAAGTGCAAGTGTTTGGGTATGTGGCATTCTCAGCTACGTCTGGCAGTGGTAATTTTTCCTGAGTATCCAAATTACTTGGAAATATGATCTGAGTTCTTCCCTATTTGGAGGAGAGAAGCTTGGATCATTCATGTGCTAATCCAAGGCAAACAGGGGAGAGCTCAGCCTTCTCAGTGAATCATAACTCTTAGCAAAACATGGATTTTCCTTATACCTGTTCAAAAAGAGAAAAAAAGAGTCTAGAACCTATGGGAGATTTTCTTTCTTTTTCTCAGGTTGAATACAAACAACAAACACAGGCACAAATTGATAAAAAGTAACTTGATTTCTCTCTCTGCTAACAGGTTAGATGACCGTGTAGATCCAAATACACCCCTTTCACTCAGAAGTACACTTTTTACCTTTCTCATCAGTTCGATGAGGAAGACATTCTGGTCTCTCAGGAGGTACTTTTTTGATTTCATGCTTTCTGTCTGTCGTAGCTGCCAAAAATGGCAAGATAATTGTTTAGAAGGGAAATAATTGAATCAAAAATAAATTTATTTCACTCACTTATAGAATAGGGCTCATACAAAGTTGCACATCATTTGTTTCAAAGTATCTGTTTGCACTATTGCATACAAACACCTTATTTGTATGCAATAGTGCAACACAGAGAGGTCCGTCTGGCACCATCATATGTTTTTCGGTGCCAGGTTAAGACCTTTTTATTTAATCAATATTTTAGTATGTTTTAATATTGAATTTTAATATTGTATTTGCAGCCAGAGTGGGTCATCAATTAATTTATGCTGTTAGCTGTCCAGAGACGCTGGTAATTAGACGGCATACAAATTTTATAAAATAAATAAATAAATAAATAAATAAATATATAGTTTTCAGTCAGGACCATTTTAGTTGAGTTTGTAAAGGATGCGGTCAACCAAGATGGACATAAACACGGTTACATGTAGACTCTGGACCATCTTAATATATATTTACTCTATTGTATTTGTCTAGTGACTGCTTTATTGGATACAATGTGCCTCTAAGCAAGCAGGCTCCAGCATGTAAAGCTAATTTCACAACAGGCGTTTTAATCTTTAAGAAGCTACAGGACTCTCATTTTGCTAAGTGGATGTAACTCCTGCTAATGGTGATCGTATTTCCAAATGCCATGAACTTTAAGGTCAAAACAGGGCTACCTGTCAACAAAAGTAAGTTGGCAGCCTGCACAGGGGAACACACAGAGAAGTTTGCGGAAAAACAAAAACTCTTAAAAATCTAAAAGGCTTTCTGTTCTTTCTGTTTGTCTTTTTTTCTCTGAGAGAAACATAGCTAAAGATGATAGTGAAAGAGAAGCAGAGATATAAAAAACCAGAGAATTATGTAAATGAAAGGGTTATTCTCTGATTCTCATCAAGAAGCACATTTAAATATATCAAGAAATGGAATTGAGAACTGCTTGTAGAAATGACTGAGTACCAATGGACAGAATAGGAGGTATTATCCATGAAGCTGCAATTGTGGTTTCTAATTTCCTATCAGGTGTGTTCTTTGAGGTAATTCCTATTTGCATAGACAAGTGGGACAAAATAAAATACAGCATGTGCTTCCTTAGGGTTTTATTTTTTTGGAGGGGGTGGTTCTATAAAACTGCAGTCAGCCACCTTCATGATAAAGTAGTCTGCCATTTCTGGAAACAGATGATACTAATCAAGTCTCATAACAGAACCAGCCAATATTTTTCCAACATCAGTAGCTTTAATATCAATATAAATATGGCAGATAACCATCATTAGCACCTATCTTTTACAACCACTAGATGGCAAAGGCATATTAGTGCTACAAAAGGATTGGGAGAGATTGTCTGAAAATTATTCAGACATAAAATTAAAGCTCTTGTACTTTATTTATCTAGTTATTTTAATTTTATTTCTATGCGGCCAAATAGCTGATGCTATCTAGGCAGTTTAAAACAACACATAAAATACAATATAGATATACACCAATAGAAACATTATAAAAATACCATACCATACCATTATAAAAATTTTAAACCAAATTTAAAACAAAATGAAAAAATACTAATACTACAAATACTGCAAAACAAATACTACAAATGCGTATACAAATTAAATTGTAAGACTTGTTTAAACAACTAACAAAGCCACAGTATAATAGTAAACAAATTAAAAGCACTGTGGTAGAAGACAGGCTTAACCTGGCACTGAAAAAATATTAAAGTTGGCACTACATAGGCCTCAGTGGGAAGCATGTTCCATAACTGGAGAGCCACCACTGAGAAGTCCCTTCTCCCTGTTGCCACCAAACAAACCTCCCTTAAAGGTTGCAACTGAAGACAGGCCACAGATTGTGATTGTACTGTTTAGATAGATTGTAACTGGGAGAAGCATTCCATCAAATATTGTGGTACTAACCCATATTAGGCTTTATTGGTTAAAACCCGCACCCTGCTCAGAAGCATATAGGTAGCCTATGCACATGAGCCAGAGCTAGTGCTGTATGTTCAGTTGTATGGTATCTGCTATGAGTTTGGCTGATGCATTTTGCATGAGATGCAGCTTCTGAACAATATTCAATAGCTGTAATCTACTTTGATGTTACCAAAGTGTAAATCTCCATCCATATAGGATGTAGGTGGACTACCAGGTGAAGCTGATATAAGCCACTCAATACCACTGAAATCACCTGGGCTCTAGTGACAACAATGGCTCAAGGAGCACCCCAAGATACAAACCTGCTCCTTCAAGGGGATTGAAATCCTATCTAGAAGAGGCTGAATTTCCTCTATTCAGTCAGAAGAACTGCCCACTACAGCATATCAGTATTGTCTGGATTGAGGTTCAGTTTGTTAGGCCTTATCCAGTCCATTGTTACAATCAAGCACCATTTTAGTACATCCACAGCCTCACTTGAGGTCATGTTGATGATCATGTATTCGAAAACTCTGGACAACCCCACTCACTGGGTTCATGTAGATGTTAAATAGAATGGTAGATAAGCCCAACACTAAGGAACTCTTTATGGGAGAGTTCAAATGGCAGAGCAGTATCGCCCAAGCACCACCTTTTGGAGCTGGCCCTCCAAGTAGGAGCAGAACCACTGCAATGTAGTGCCCCACACTTGGATCTCAATCAGTTGCTCCAGAAGGATACTGTGGTCAAGGGTATCAAAAGCTGCTCAATTGTCCAGGAATACCAACAGGGTCATACGCCCTGTCTCTCTTCCAGCATAGGGAGAGGGTGATCAAAACATCTCTCATGCCAAGAACAGACCTGAACCTTGCCTGGAATGGATCTATTAAAAGTTGTACTCTGCCAACACTTTAAAGAAACATATTATACTGAACTAACATATAATCCCTGCATGGAGAAATATAACAATAACCTCTGCCTTGCTTAATTTGGTGAAATAGAACAAGTTCCAGTTTTTTACTTAACTAGAATAGTATTTGACTGGTTTTCCTAGTTTTCCATAGGTATGAGAACTCTGGAATTTCAAAAGCAGTTTATTACAGGCAGAGGATACCTGCAATTTAACAATTTTTAAATATCATGGTTGATATGGCTATTCTGAGAGCTTCCATTAAGCCAGAAAAGTGGTTTTACTGTCAGCAAGGTACATTTACTGATGTTTATTGTATGACAGCAGTGCATTACCTGATCCTTGTTTGAAGGCAGGAGCTGAGGGAGGTGGTGGCTTCTTAGGTCTCTAAAGGAAGTAGATGTAAGTTTATTATCTTGAATTTGAACCAGACAGAAGATTAATTTTGTCTCTATTAGTCAGTGTGGAATGATATTCCAATTCAAAAGGCTTTTCGCCAATGTAGCAAAATAAATGCAATTTATGAAGAAAATATAAACAAAAAACATCTCTTTTTAACTTTACAAGGGTATATCCTCTCTTGAGTAAGAGAGACATTAATCTCCAAGAAAGATGGCATTTGAATAATGAACTAAAGAAGTATAGTAAACATCTAAAACTATTTTAAAAATACTTAGGCACTACAGAAGCTAACAGAGGATTAATAAATACAGATCGCAAGAAATGTTCTCCAAAGGGAATATTTTTTTTCTAATTTGCTAATATATGACTATTATCCTATTTAAGGAATAAAATAAAGTACAGTTATTAACACTTTCTAATGCTGGAAGAAAGAAACTAATTACATACATCAGTACCAGATTTTTCTGTCATTATTTTCTCTCTTTAACCAACCCACTTCTAATCCAAAAGATGTGAATGCTGTTAAATGAAATTAGAAAAGCTTTTCCAGATGCAATTCCCTTCTTTATTACATCCAGCAGCCCAGTGAGACCGCAGAAAAAAGTAGATGCACATATCTCCCAGGTGACAAAGGTTATAAATGACTTAGAGGATGGATACAAAATGTTAACAGCAAACTCTATTTAGATATCTGTTTATTGAAAACATGTAAGGTATAGTACTATTTACAGGCTTTATTAGAACAATGGGAGCTAGCAATGCCATTTATTAAAACAAAGGGATGCATCTTGTAGGTTTTCAGCAAATATATTCTCTTGATTTACGGTTTACTACTTCAATATTGAGAACTGTTAGCAATTCTTAAAATATTCTACACTGTAGCTTGCACTTAAAGAGATTCTCCCATAGTCTTCATTTTGTCGCCTATTCTCTCTTTTTTTGAATTCTAGAATTATATTGGCTTCTAGCACTCAAGTTATAGGAAAATCCTCCTGCCAGAGTAAATGAAGGTTAGTAAGGAAGGAGTATTTAAGTACCATATGTAGCTCACATATCAGTTAAGCACTGAATAGCACTGCACTGGGGTCATCTAGGGAATTTTCACTCACACTCAAAACAAAATCATCCGTCTTACAATGTTGGCTAAACTTGTAAAATACTGCTTTAAAAAAACACATCTGTACACAATTATTTCATTAATATGTTATAACATATGTTATGTTTGCGCAAAAACATCTATACAGACTTTCCATATTGCTATGAACTATAGCCAGAACAATAAAAACAACATTTGCAAAATACAATAGCATTCTAAATATTGTCTTTTCTTTCTCATGACAGGTATTAAAGACACAGTTGTAAAACTTGATGCTTGGAAGCCCTGAACCTGGAGGCTTATAAGCATCCTATGCAGGATGGAAGGCCTAGTGAAGGCAATCTTTGCTTCTCTATCCTTCCACCTGCGTTTTCACTAAACATGGTTTTCTGCCTATCTAGCAAAAGCATTTTGGAATTCTGTCTCTAACCTTATTGGTTGTGATCCACAATATCTCATGCCACCTCAGGCACTGGCTGCATTCACACTACACAATAAGCCATAGTGGTGCAGGGTTGCTTGTCACAATGTATAAACCCAGCCACTGTCTAATGGCCACAGAGTTGCTCCTTAAATGGTTATTTCTTGTAAGATAAAATTTTCTTGACATTGCAAGAGAGCAGACCAAGTGTCACAACTATGTAAAGTGTAGTTGCTAATTCTTGGGAACTTATAAACCATATGCAGCTAAAGGCATTTTGGTACGGATGAAGGAAAGTAAAAGCTCAGTGAAGCAGAAGCTTTTCACCAGCAAAGTTATACTTAGTTTCCTGAGCTACCAAATTAGATGAATTCCAGGAAAAACCTTCTCCAATATATTTATATTTGGAAATGTGACAAAATTTACCTTTATGGTCAAAACACATCTAGCAAATTGTAGTTTTAGTATTTAACCTTAAAGGTTAAGTGTACCATTTTTGTTCTAGTATGAGCATCTAAAATGTCACTGAACATATAGATTCCCAAGAGGTTTGTGATCATAATAGGTAGAGAGTTAGGTCTGATTAAGTAAAAGGCAGAATCCTAAGAGTCAGTATAACTAGAAAATTAAAGCATGATCTCCACCTATTTCTTCACACGAGGCATCAGTGTATAAAAGAAGCTGGTATTTTAGTTGCAAAGCCTGGTTTTACAGGTCAGCAAAATGTTATATAATAACAATATTTTTGTTGGCTTTTTAAAGATTTAGCTTTGCTTTAGTATAACAACATTTTTTCAATAAAAGCTAGAGGTTTCTAAAAGATTTACAGTCAACTATCGTGTTTTATGATAAAGGGTATTCAGCGCTTACCTCCTTTTCAAAGTCAGGAAGAAGTAATTTAACAAAATTATCAGGAAACACTCCTCTTTTACCATTGAGCTCTCCTTCCCACCAGCCAGCATCAATGCATTCCTATAACATGTTGAAAGGGGTGGAGGAAGAGGAGGAACAAGATGAGCATATGTTAGGAGACAGGTTTTGTTGGTGTATCAGAATTCTTTGTCCTTGTTAACTGTGAGTACAAAGAGGTGTGTGCAGAGTACTATTATGTAAGCACCTATTTTCATGATGGGATCAAAACTTATATTACCAGGTTTTCAGCCTTCTCAGGTAAATTTCCCAATAATCAGCTGTGAATTGCTATCCATATTCTCTCCTGATTAATTGAAAGAAATATTAGGAGAATATGGTGAATAATTCTATGGTGAATACTATGGTGGTGAATATTATGGTGGTGAATAATATGGTGATGAAGATACAGAACAATTGGCTATGCTGTGGTATTTGGTAGTTGAAAAGTGCACTCCTTTGATATCTCTAGGAATCCTGTTTCAAATACTGAAGAGCCATTGCCAGTCAGTGTCAATCACGGTAGCCTAGCTGAACCGATGGTTTGACTTAGCATAGGACAACTTCCTCTGTGATCTAGCCACATTGGTGGGCCAAATATATTTGTCTTTCCCATGGAATCAGCACCCTGCCATCCTATTCTCACAGGATGGATTATGTAGGCTAAGTTTTCCCAAACTGGAGCTCACCAGATGCATTAGCCTACAACTTCCACCATTCCCAGGAAGTATTGAATCAACTCAAACAAATAAGAGGACCCTACAAAGTTTGGGAAAACTTGATTGTATTCTCCCATGTGAAGCCATGGCCTTCTGAAGAAAAAAATGCAATTCCTGTTGCAGACAGAAAGCCTATCAACAACTTTAAAAACCCACCTAACAAAAAAGATATATAGATGAATTAGAAAAAATATACATTTTATTAAACATTTTATGCAATCTTATTTTATTGTTCATTTCTTGGGAATCTTGTTTGCTATAAAGCAACATACCAATCCTAGATATAAATAAATAAACCACATTGTTAGAAATATTTGTTCATTTAACTTTCTAAATGCAAATATGTTAATCTTAGATTTATGTATCTTATAATTGGTTAGAATTGTTGCCTATAGCTGGATGCATACTGCTGCACAGCACAATGCTTTTTCGTTGTTATGGCTTGAAACTAAGTCTGAGTTCAATGGGTCTTACTCTGAGGTGTGCATAAGATTTCAGCCCTTTATCTCTCACTGAATTCTGTGGAATGAAGGCGGTTCACTGCAGAATTGTGTGATAAAATTGAAATTGCATCATAAACTTTAACAGATCACTTGCAGTGGGTTTTGCTCTGTCTCACACAAATACACAGAGTCTTTCTTAAACTTTAGCATTAATACGTTTAAATTCACAGTGTATGCTAGTGATAAGGTATCTGGTGTATAAAGTCTGAAAAGGACTTGGGTTCTGCTTACTCTAAGGATTGCTTATATCTGCATAGCCACCCCCACCCTCCAATAAGGTCCCTTACTCTCAAGGATAGCTGGGAGAGTAGGACAGTAGGAGGGACAGTGGGAGTATAGTTTTTTCCACACTGTGGTTCTAACACCATGGAAGCAAAATGCTTCCTGAAGCCCATCAGATCCCTGTTGGCCCCTACAAATCCAGCCAGACAATAGATCATCTGGAAGGATCAAACTCATTGCATTTCAATACTTTTCAGCTGAAATTTTAATATTTAACATACTTGAAATGTTAATATTAATATACTGCATCCTGCTTTTTTAGATTACTTTCATTCCTATTTTGTACATTTGTTCAGTGCTCAGGGTAAGAAGTTCAAAACATCTTGTTCATTTAATTAAAATAATTAGATGATGGCTTCAGAAACACATACAAATTATAATGCATTAAAATATGAAATGTTAGCACTATTGAAATTAGTGATACCAGTGAACATGACATCTATTTGTGCTGGGAAACAGAATACGAAAATCATTACATATTATTGACAACAGGCTATAAAAGATTGGTTAAGAGGGTCTGGAAGAGAGTTGTTAGAGAGTCATCCTATGGTCCCAAGGTATCATCTGGGTGGCCATAAGATACTTTGGATTCTGAGATCCGAGGCTGGAACTAGAACCTTGACCTTGGAATTGAGAATTCACTCTCCAGCCCTCCTACCTGCCATGCTGACTGGTGCAAAAAGAACTGTGTAGGCTGCCTCTTCAAGATGAGGGACTCAGTCTCATAGAGGAGATAAAAGGGGTGTTTCAGTAGAAATATGTAAAAAAGATTAAGACAATACACAGTTATTTGTTCAGAGCCTTTTCTAAAAAATCTGTAAGTAATCTAGTAGAAAAACCCTATACTTCCAAATAAATCTAAAACTGGAAATAAACTAGGTATTATATCTAAAATGAAATACATGGTCAAGTAATTTGTGGAAGTGTCCTTCAAAGCAAATATAAAATGAGAGTCCTATTGCATTACAACCTATACTTTTTCCAGTAAATGGGCTGTGTGTTACACAACTCATGCATACAGCAAAGGTTTAGGCATTTATGAGACAGCTATTATATCTCCCATCTGCACATTCTAACAGAAGCAAGGCAAGGCAGTAGGTAGATGGGTTGCTCAGATTTTACATTGCATACATGGATATACCTGTCATTCACTATTCGACAGATCACCATAATACAACCATGATTACTATACTTATTGAAGGCAATTGTTTCAAGATATTGCTTTTGTTCTTGATTCAAAAAAGGAAGGCTTCAGCTGAATACAAAGGAATAAAGGACTCAAACAGTAAAATCCAGTCACTAGGTATATATATCTGCAGTGCCCGAGGGGGGTTGTTGTTAAATAATATGGACTTGATCAGCAGGCTTTTAATCTGCCAATTAGTTGATTATATTCAAGGAAGTCTGCTTAATACCAGATTTTGATATACATGTCATGCTACAGAACGAAGCACAAATTAAAGGTTATTTTTTGTTAAAAGTAAAAGTCACCTTTACTATTTGTTTCATTCCCTATTAGAAACCAAGAAGCTAAGTAGCTTATAAAATAAACAAATGTACACTTAATTCTCAGCCGCTGACCAACTAATCATTATAATTATGTTACATTTATATCCTGCCCTTTTTCATCTTGCAAGGGACTCAAAGAAACTTACAAGGTGCTCTTCGTCTTCATTTTATCCACACAACCACCTTGTGAGATAGATTGGGCTGAGACGCAGTGACTGGCCCACAGTCACCAAGTGAGCTTCCTGGTTGAGCAGGGACTAAAGCCTACATCTCCTTTGTCCCACACCAGTAATCTTAGTTCAAACTAAGGTTTACTAAAACAAACCAGGATAAGAAACCATGGTTTGATCTTGGCTTGTTTCAGTAAGCTGTTAAACTAGTTAAAGTTTGGATAAATAAACACACTGGTGTTAGTTTACACTAGGAAAAATGCATCTAATCTCTTCCACATAGTCATGCCACCCACAGAACAAAGGGCAGAGGCAAAGCACTTGCACGACTGACTTCAGCAGGTCTGTTTCCATAATGCTTAACCAATTTTTGAACTTGGTTGATGAAACATGTATTTCTTTAGAAATCAAAATCCTATTTCAGTGAAAGAAACCAAGATTTGTGAGCAAAAGCTAAGCAATTTTCATAAGAGGAATATTGTCTTAATTGCCATTTTGTATGTTCGTTGCTATCTTAATATTATTGCACATTGTTCCACATTTAAAGGCAACTTCAGATGAACCAATTTAGTGTTCATCATTTCCCATCCAAAGCAAGTACAGCTAAGTATTATGCATCCATCTGGTCTCATTAGTACTTTTTTCCCCAAACTGTGTATTTGGTTTAACTGTACAACCAGTTGCAACTCATTTTCTGCTGTTCTGTAATAACTTATTCAGAAACTTACTCCAATGTTGAATATACTTTTCTACAATTCCAAATATATGATCTTAACTTCATAAAGCTAAAAACCTCACCTGCTGCATTCAAAGTGTGAAGTTTACAAATTAATTTCCACAAACCATTTCTATGTGGTTAGGGTGCAAGTATGCATGGCACAGAACATGGGGTAGTCACTGAAAATTGCAGATTCCCATATCTTTCCTACAACATAAAAGATCATTCACCTAGAAAACAGGCAATAGTGCAAAATTTGTTGCTATATATTACCTATATATTACTTAAGGGTGCTTATGTATTTCTTTCAGTATCAGAAGTATACTGATTTTCTTAATAGAGGTAATTTATAGCTGTTTTGACTAGTGACTATTAATAGCACTATCCTCCATGAATTTGTCAAATACCTTTTTAAAACATCTTTTAAAAAACATCTTGGCAACAAAAATGACCAAAGTGATGGAGCAACTCCCCCATTTCTGTAGGAAGCTGGAGTTCCTTCTCCATGCATTAAAAGCCACAGATCTTTTCTTGCAAAGCGTCCTTTGACTGAAGCACAGAAACATAATGAACCTCTGAGCATGCACAGTTGTTGAACCCAAACTAGTATTCACTACCAGGAATTCTCCTTATGAGCATTCTTGGGCCCCATCCCTTCAGGAGCGACCTTCTGAAAACAAGCATGCATCCTCCTTGCACACTTTAATTGGGGCACCCTCCTTTGTGCATAAGATATCGTGGAATCAAGAGCTGGGACTGCCGCATCTGTGTCTGAGAAGCTTCCCTGTTCCAATTCCCCTCCTGACAACTGTACATCTTAGTAATTCCCAGAGACTGCCTGCCCACCTGGCCTTCAGGTAAGTATCTCTGCTTCTCTCCTCTCAATGTCTCAGGATGGCCCACATTCCCAGCCTTCCACCATTCCTCTCCCCTTCTCCTTCTTCTGATTCTTCTGAACCCCCACCAGCAGCCTTGGAGAATGTATGCCCATTGCTGCCAACTTTCTTACTCCCAACAACCACAACAGAAGGACACAATACTTGCAGTCTTTTATTTAGAAAAAATCTAGTAAAGCGTTATTCATGGGTAAAGGAAGTTGTATCCTTCCTTGGGTTATTCAATGTGGCCAAGAAGGAGTTCGGCAAGGCTGTATACTGTCGCCCTGCCTATTTAACTTATATGCAGAGCACATCATGAGAAAGGCAGAGCTAGATGAATCACCAGCTGGAATTAAGATTGCTGGAAGAAATATCAACAACCTCAGATATGCAGATGATACCACTCTCATGGCAGAAAGTGAAGAGGAACTAAAGAGCGGGTGAAGGAGGAGAGTGGGTGAAGGAGGAGAGCGCAAAAGTTGGCTTGAAACTCAACATTAAGAAAACTAAGATCATGGCATCCGGTCTTCTCACTTCCTGGCAAATAGATGGGAAAGAAATGGAGGTAGTGACAGAAATTAAAAGACGCTTGCTCCTTGGAAGGAAAGCTATGGCAAATCTAGACAGCATACTAAAAAGCAGAAACATCACCCTGCCAACAAAAGTTCATATAGCCAAGGCTACGGTTTTCCCAGTTAAAATGTATGGCTGTGAAAGCTGGACCATAAGGAAGGCTGAGCGCAAAAGGATTGAGGTCTTTGTATTGTGGTTATGGAGGAGACTCCTCCCTTGGACCGCAAGGCGATCAAACTGGTCAGTCCTAGAGGAGATCAACCCTGACTGCTCTTTAGAAGGCCATATACTAAAGATGAAACTCAAATACTTTGGCCACCTAATGAGAAGGAAGGACTCCCTGGAGAAGAGCCTAACGCTGGGAACAATAGATGGCAAAAGAAGAAGGGGACGGCAGAGGGTGAGGTGGCTAGATGGAGTCACTGAAGCAGTTGGTGTGAGCTTAGGTGGCTTTAGGCTGTTCTAAGGCTTGCAGCAATTATTTGTGATATGTGTGTTTGGAAATATTTCTGCCTTGTGTTTTAGGCTGGGCTTAATATGCAGCACAATGAGCTGGAAATAAGGTGGTAAAAAGTTAACATGGCTGAGTAGACTGCACCACATCAGATAACATAGAGGTGACAACCATCTGCAAACAATTTTACAATGTCCTGCAAATACTACAATGGTCTCCTGCATATTGAAATCAAGGGGAGACAAGTTCTAGCTTAATCCTTTGCCTGATGGAACTCTATGTGTAGGGAACCTTAAATATAGGCATGTATGATTGCTTTCCAACTGCATATGAAATAGTGAAAATTCTCATCCTCTTTCTGTTGTTGTTGTTGCTAGTCACAAAGTAGTATCCGACCCATCGTGACCCCATGGACAACATTCCTCCAGGCTTTCCTGTCCTCCACCATCCCCTGGAGTCCACTTAAGCTCCTTCTCTACTATATGTGTAAATCAGGTTTCAGTCATAAGTGGCGATCTTGTCCAGAGAAATAAAGGACTAAGAAAACTGCAATTTTAAATAAAAAAGGGCCATTTGAAAAGCCACAGCAAGTGACTTATCGATGTATTTCCTATGACACTTGCAGCGTATAAAGCATGCATCATTATCAAACATAAGTACATATCAAAACAAATTTAACCTAAACATCAACAACATTTTCCCATATGAAAGTACATTAATATTTTTAAACAGAAAAAATATTGCAATTACCTTATTGACAAGAGTGACAATATCACCTTCTTTGATTGTCAATTCATCTTCATTCTGTGCTTCATATGGAAATATAACTTTACAATACTCTTTTACTGAAAAGGAGAAAAAGCATATTCCATTTCAATACTTTTTGTTTCCTGAAATTTCTATGTATTGTCAAAATGAACATTTCTCCAATCAAACCAGTTGACTTTAGAAAGTGCATGAAACATTAGAACGCATTATATACTACTAGACAATGTAAAATAATGAAAAATTCTGAAGAAACACTCATTTGGGATGCAATCCTATACAAGATTTTTCCTTCCTGGATCACTGCCTTGCCATGGCGAAGGAGCTTGTGTATCTCAATGAAGCTTTGAGCTATGCTGTGCAGGAGCACCCAAGACAGTCGGGTCATAGGAGAGAGCTCTGACAAAACGTGATCCACTGGAGAAGGAAATGGCAATCCACTCCAGTATCCTTGCCATGAAAACCCCATGGACAGCACCACCAGGCAAAGAGATATTGCGCTGGAAAATGAGCCCCTTGTATCAGAAGATGTCCAATGTGCTACTGCGGAAGAGCAGAGGGTTAGTACTAGTAGTGCCAGAAAGAATGAAAAGTCAAAGCTGAAAGGACACTCAGTTGCGGATGTATCTGGTGGTGAAAGGAAAGTCCTATGCTGTAAAGACCAATACAGCATAGGAACCTGAAATGTAAGATCTATGAATCAAGGTAAGCTGCACATGGTCAAACATGAGATGACAAGACTGAACAGTGACATCTTGGAAATCAGCGAACTAAAATGGATAGGAATGGGTGAATTTAATTCAGATGACCATCAGGTATACTACTGTGGGCAAGTATCCCTCCGAAGAAATGGAGTAGCCTTCATAGTCAATAAAAGAGTAGGAAAAGCAGTACTGGGATACAATCTCCAAAATGACAGAATGATCTCAGTTTGAATCCAAGGCAAACCATTCAACATCACAATAGTCCAAATCTATGCCCCAGCCACTGGTGCTGAAGAGGCTGAAGTTGACCAGTTCTATGAAGGCCTATAACACCTTCTAGAATTAACACCAAAAATGATGTCCTTATCATCATAGGGGATTGGAATGCTAAAGTAGGAAGCCAAAAGATAACTGGAATAACAGGCAAGTTTGGCCTTGGAGTACAAAATGAAGCAGGGCACAGGTTGGTAGAATTTTGTCAAGAGAATATGACGGTCATAGCAAACACTCTTTTCCAACAACCCAAGAGACAACTCTACACATGGACATCACCAGATGGTCAACACAGAAATCAGATTGACTATGTGCTCTGCAGCCAAAGATGGAGAAGCTCTGTACAATCAGTAAAAATAAGACCAGGAGCTGACTCTGGCTCAGATCATGAGCTTCTCATTGCAAAATTTAGGCTTAAATTGAAGAAAGTAGGGAAAAGCACTAGGCCACTCAGGTATGACCTAAATCATATCCCTGATGAATATACAGTAGAAGTGACAAATAGATTTAAGGAATTTGATCTGATAGACAGAGTACCTGAATAATTATGGATGGAGGCTCACAACATTGTACAAGAGATAGCAACTAAAACCATCCCAAAGAAAAAGAAATGCAGGAAAGCAAAATGGCTGTCTGAGGAAGCTTTACAAACAGCTGAGGAAAGAAGGGAAGTGAAAGGCAAGGGAGAAAGAGAAAGATAAACCCAATTGAATGCAGAATTCCAGAGAATAGCTAGAAGAGATAAAAAGGCCTTCGTACATGAACAGTGCAAAGAAATAGAAGAAAACAATAGAATAGGGAGGACCAGAGATCTCTTCAAGAAAATTGGAGATATGAAGGGAACATTTCATGCAAAGATGGGCATGATAAAGGACCAAAATGGCAGGAACCTAACAGAAGAGATTAAGAAGAGGTGGCAAGATTACACAGAAGAACTATACAAGAAAGAGCTTAATGTCTCTGATAACCATGATGAGGTTAGGGTTAGGATTCCAGACATCCTGAAATGTGAAGTCAAAAGGGCCTTAGGAAGTCTGAGCAACAACAAAGCTAGTGGAAGCAACAGTATTCCAACAGAGCTATTCAAAATCCTAAAAGACGATAAAGTAAAAGTGCTACACTCAATATGCCAGCAAATTTGGAAAACTCAGCAGTGACCACAGGATTGGAAAAGGCCAGTTTACATTCGAATTCCAAGAAAGGGGAATGCCAAAGAATGTTCGAAGTACCACACCATAGTACTCATTTCACATGCTAGCAAAGTTATGCTCAAAATCCTACAAGCTAGGTTCCAGCAGTATGTGGATTGAGAACTACCAGAAGTACAGGCAGGGTTTCAAAGAGGCAGAGAAACTAGAGATCAAATTGTCAACATACTCTGGATCATGGAGAAAGCTAGGGAACGCCAGATAAACATCTACTTCTGCTTCACTGACTATGCTAAAGTCTTTGATTGTGTGGATCACAACAAATTGTGGCAAGTTCTTAAAGAAATGGGAGTACCTGACCATCTTATTTGTCTCTTGAGAAACCTGTATGCGGGTCAAGAAGCAACAGTGAGAACTGGACATGGAACTACTTAATGGTTCAAAATTGGGAAAGGAGTACAGCAAGGCTGTATATTGTTGCCCTGCCTATTCAACTTAAATGCAGAGCACATCATGAGAAAGGCGAGACTAGATGAATCACAAGTTGGAATTAAGATTGCTGGGAGAAATATCAACAACCTCAGATATGCAGAGGACAATGGCAGAAAGTGAAGCGGAACTAAAGAGCCTCTTGATGCAAATGAAAGAGGAAGGCGCAAAAGTTGGCTTGAAACTCAACATTAGGAAAACTAAGATCATGGCATCCAATCCTCTCACTTCCTGGCAAATAGATGGGGAAGAAAAGGAGGTAGTGACAGAAATTAAAAGACGCTTGCTCCTTGGAAGGAAAGCTACGGCAAATCTAGACAGCATACTAAAAAGCAGAAACATCACCCTGCCAACAAAAGTTCATATAGCCAAGGCTACGGTTTTCCCAGTTGTAATGTATGGCTGTGAAAGCTGAACCATAAGGAAGGCTGAGCGCCAAAGGATTGAGGCCTTTGAATTGTGGTGCTGGAGGAGACTCCTGCGAGTCCCTTGGACTGCAAGATGATCAAACCAGTCAGTCTTAGAGAAGATCAACCCTGACTGCTCTTTAGAAGGCCAGATACTGAAGATGAAACTCAAATACTTTGGCTACCTAATGAGAAGGAAGGACTCACTGGAGAAGATCCTAAGGCTGGGAACAATTGATGGCAAAAGAAAGGGATGGTACAGAATGAGGTGGATATATAGAGTCACTGAAGCACTTGGTGTGAGCTTAGGTGGACTCCGGGAGATGGTGAAGGACAGAAGAGCCTGGAGGAATGTTGTCCATGGGGTTGTGAAGGGTCAGGCATGACTTCATGACTAACACAACATAATAACCTATACAAGTTTAGACAACAAAAGCCCTACAACTTCCATTATGTTCCAGCCAATATAGATAGTTGGCATGCTGGGAATTGTAGATCTTTCTCTATCTAAACTTGCATAGAAATTGCCTGTAGTAAACTACTTTAGTCAAAAATATTCCATTAAATACTTTAATTGGAAAGGCTGTGCTCATTTTTCAATCATTGTGTATGGATTTTCCACAGGGAACAAGAGAGCCCAGCTTTCAGCACACCTACAACTGGAGCACCACACTATAATGGCAAATGGGAGGTCACACCAACATTTAAATGTAATTTAATCACATTATAGAATTTTGCTAAACATTTCCATTACCTTACTACTACAAAAGCTGTGATTTTAATTCCTTCTTTTGATCCTCAGGGAGGCTACATAATTTCATCAATTGAAGGGACATGATTGGATGGGGATATGGGAAGGCAGGCACAGACTTTTCTGGTGGAGTACAAAGAGCAGGAAAGCAGATTTTTTCCTACCTCATGCACTATGAGAATCTTTCTAAGCATGGAAATTACACATACACTGGGAAGTTCTATGTCCACTGGTTTATACTGATGTTTCTAGACAGCAGTTCTACTTCCTTTCTTCCTGAATAAGTTACTGCGAGGAAAAATCCTCATAAATGTGTAAAAAAAGCACCTCGTCCAAGTACATTCACTTGTTCTCTAGATATGTCATTTTAATCCTTGACAAACAGGGAGGGCAATGTTAACAGGCAAGCTCAACTACTGACAGGAAAAAGTAATTAGGTACCGTAGCCCAAATAATATTAACACATTAGTCCATTTTATATAAGAATAAAGAGATATTGTGATCCAAATTTTAATTTCTAAACTGTAGAATACATAGTTATCTCATTGCATGAATGAAAGCTGATAAGCATAATCTGCTTATTAATGCACATAAAGATGATCAATAATAATAATGCATAGGTATCATATAACTTGCTCTACAACTGACCATTGTTTCAACAACCCATGATGACCAGGCAGCACTTTAACATGTTTTTGCATTTCTATTTGAAGGCTTCTGACTGATTGCACTTTAACACTGCTTAACACTGCTTCTTGGGCCTATATTTCTATTTTAGACTCAGAATTCTAGATGCAAGCTTGCTTTAGTGCCCAATCGTCATTAGATATTATAGACTTATATTTGAAATATTTTATATTCCAAAAAAGTGACTAGTCTTTATTTGAAAAATGATTTTCTGAAACAATTTTCCGACCCCTTTATAATGCCCCTGTTCCCCGTTTCAGCCTTTTCTGCCATTACTAGCCAATCTGGCTGGTTTCTTCTATAATTAGTCTTGGAAGATTTTTTTCTGCTGCAACAGGTTTCAGTGCTCTGAAAATACCTGCCATTCACTACATTACCTGAAGGCAATTGCACAAAAAAACATATGGGGTACAATCAGTGGGTTAACACTACATAGTAAGTGTGTAAAGCATCGTAACTCAAATCTACATAGGTTTCCCTTGCATAAGATCCTTCCTTAGCGATTATGGCAAAGTTATCTACTTGCAAGCTAGGGTTACCAGATGTTAAAAAGTGGAGAAGACTACTGTTGTGACAAGGCTCCATGGAATCCACCTTTCGTCAGTTCATGGATGTCATCTTACACTTGGCCCTCTAAGAAAGCAACCCAAGAGGAAGTCCATGAATGCGTGTGGAACCCCAGTTGTGCAACGGGCAACCTTCTTCCATGTCATGCGAGCCCAAGCAAATTCTGGTGAGTGGCATGCAAACATTCAGTGCACATGTTAGGAAGGTGGGCTTACAGCCATGAGAAAGCAGCCCAGAGTCTGGACAGATTCCCACCTCAAAATGGATTCATCACACATACCCAGTCAAGGCTGTGGGCACCTACATATACAATAAGTGATTAAATAAATCAGAGGGGAGGGAATACTCATTGATACTATGCCTTTATTGTTTGGATAAACTATTTATATCAGTTTGCATCTCTGACCCTTTTTAGATTTATGGGGCTTCAGTTTTGTTTATCTTTCATTCTAAATAAAGAATTCAGTAAGAAAAATCATTGCAAAAATGCTGTACATCCTGTAGAGTATTGTTTTTAGAATTCCCTCAAGCAATTTCTGTTTCTACTTCCATCTGACAAGGTCAATGAATGGTCATTCTTGAAAGTGGGTCTCCCCCACCCCTTCCTCTATCTAGCAAACTAAACAAGGTTTTAGAAGCACAGTCCTTTTATTAGAGATCAGGAGGTTACAAAAATAGCATAAATCAAAGTAAAGTTCGCTTTGGGATATGGAAGAAGCACCTGCCTATGTTGCATCCAAACTGAACCCTCCCTTCCTTCCCTTCCTTTCAGAAAGATTCTGACCCCCCCCCACCCCACGCCTTTTGAAATATCTCCCTCTTTTTCCCAAGGTGATTGGTTTTCATGGCCCACCTGAATATCTTCACTAAGAAACCTTGAAAACTGTTATCTTCCCTGCTCTGTCTCCTCCTCAGAATCTGATTATTCTACCTGAGGAGACCATAATGTGTCAGAGCTGGGCCCCATTTCTACAGTCATCACAACAGGAATGTTCTGAATTTCTCTCCCTTGACATTTTCCCCAAAATTCTTCCCAACTGACCCAGTCCCATGAATGGAACATTCCTGAGGTTTGCATTTCTAGAATGGATAAAAAACTGCTGTAGTGTATGAATGCATTATTTGATTATTAAAACAAATCTTTATAATACTGTTTTAAATCTGGCATGAACTCAGCTATAGAACAAGTATAGAACAGGTCAAAAGGCAGTATTGCTTCCCTGACCTCATTCCCTGTAAGTGCCTCATCAGTGAAATCAGGGGTGCCGCCTCTGATATCACTGGGTCCCTGCATGAAAAACTGTCTGGAACTCATCCTGTTGGCAGTTTGGCCAGTGAGATAGTTTTGTTCATCATTTGCCTGCACCACAAGGGGAAGCAGTGGCTAAATGCCCAGTTGGTTTCACTTGTTCTTCACCTCCCTCATATGAGGTGCACTCAGCCATTGGAAAAATGAGTGGTACGCAATGGCATCTCCTCATTATCTCCAATTATGGATTAGTAATACCAGGTCAATTCATCTTCCCTTAGCCTCCCAAAGCTCCCAGGGGCCGCTAGGTCAGAAGGTGGGATACGGGGAGTGGACAAGGTTTGTGAGGGTCCAGAGAAGGAGCCCCAGCATCCATGTGTTAGATGAGGAACCTCTGCAGATAATGCCTTCTCTGAAATTCCACTGCAGTTTTTTACAATCAGGAATTACTATATGTAGCAATGCTGGTGGCCATGCCTGTCCTTTTAATCAACAGCAAAATGGTAACTGGCTGGGAAAGAGAGAGGCAATTACTTACTGGCTAGATGGCTTTTAATGAGGCTGTAGGAGAAAACTGGGTCACTTTAACTACAATCAGAACTCCTGATTTCTTTTTATTAAAGCCTAACAGGTTGCAAAATAGTGTAAGTCCAAATAGCATTTTTCCTAGCATGTGAGAGAAGTATCCAAACTGAATCTAAACTTCCCTTCCCTCACTTCCTTTTAAAAAGATTCTCACTTCACCCTTAAGGTTACTCCTGCTGTTTGAGGGCTGTACTGTGGGAACATGCAACATTTCTTAATTGGTCTGTCCAGTTTTGTCTGTCATGCCCTGACAGGGTCAAGGAACTTCCTCTCAATCTCCTCCCCACCCAGTTCTGAAACATTTCCCTCCTTTTTAAAGAGTGTTTTCACACTGTTGGAGAGCCTTCACCAGTAACCTTGAAACTACAGGTCATCTTGCTAGGCTTAACCTTCTGCCTCCTCCTCTGAGTCAGCTGAATCCTTCTGAGAGGACTGTAACTTCTGAGAACTGGGCCCCCTCTCTACACCTTGCTGACCTGAGAGAAGTCTGAGAATGCTCATGGAACAGAAGAATGGAATAACCGGCAACCTTTTGCTGCATACACACAACAATCCAAATATAGGCTGCTGCACATGGCACAGAAGAAGGATTTAGTTATTTATCTATCTATTTTAATAGTTATATACTGGCCCATTCCCATAGGCTCTGGGCAGTTTAAGAAATTTGCTGCTCATGCAGCAGTTGCATTGGTCTCTATTTCTGCAGAGTCCTACACTAACAACTTTCTTCTGTCACATACAGAAGCATGAACAAAAGCTGCTGCATATGACTCAAAAAGGGATGCTGCTTGTACAGCATGTATGGCTTGGTTCCTGGAAAGTGCCCCATGAACACTGGATTCTGTGTCCTGTGAACTTGGACTCAGGGACTCAACAACTCTGAAGAATCCAATGTATTCCCTGCCCCAAAATGGATTCCTCACACATTCCCAGGTTCTTGCTTGTTGTCCTTGACTTTCCAGAATCACCTACCAATTCCTCCCCTTCTATCCTATTTATCTTGCATTCCAGATCTGAACAGTCTGGATTTTGTGAGCTGCCTCTGGCTGGATGGGTGGTGTAGAAATATATAAATACTAACTAACTAACTGCCTGAGAGTGCTGTATTGTGAGAAAGCTGGGCCCCATCTCCACAGTTATAGTCACAATTAGTCCTACTTAAAGTTCATCATTGAAATAATGACTTAAGTTAGACTAAGGCTGGACACAGCCTATGACTTTTAAGGCTGCCAAGCTCTCAAACCATTCAGAATAAGGATCAGTGACCCATAGGGCAAATCTGGTTCCCTAAGAAATGCTGCTTGCTTTCTAGCTTCCACCACTCTCTTCTCTGCTTATTTTCCTTCTTGATTCTTAGTTTAAACTAAGATATATTAAAAGTATATAAAATATTTTACATAGAATGCACATTACTTTGAAATTATTATAAATAAAATCCATATTATTCAAAGCCTTCTAATAGGCTGACAGGCTGATACAACTAGCAAGCTTCGTTATGGGTACAACATCTACTGTACAGATGTTCAAATTAGAATTTGTGATAGCTACAGGAACAAAAGATTTTCTTCTTTAGTTACCTTCCGTTGCCTTCTTAAGACATAGCTTCACCCTAGGTTTTCCCAATTAATTTTTTTTTTTACTTTTTACTTTTCTTCTCCCCGCCTAATCTGTCCAGCAGTGTACTTCAGACTGTAAAACTATTGTTCACTTTTATCTATTTTCTCATACCAGATAGTTAAAGCATTTTGTTGATTACATCTCCCGGATGTGTTGTTGTTTAAACTAGGAATTTATATATTGAGATACATTCTTCAGATTTTTGTTAGGAGCACAGAGAAATATAACCAAGTGAGGCATGTCCCAGATTCACAGTAACAATTTGTTGCCTTGTTCACCTTTCCCAGCCAAAGAAAAAAAGAAAAAAAGGCCCGAATGCAGTCTCCCATCCTTTCAGTCTTTCCCAGAAAGAATCTAATTGTTTTTAAATTCCCCTCCCCATTTGGAGGATTGTCTAGTAACATCAAGCCTCCTAAGATAATACTTGAAACCCTGATGAAAAATTAGATACAAAATTATTAGTAGTTTTCTAAGAAATGAGATGTACGAAAACACAATGATAGTTTTAGAAGATTTTAATCTCTGTTGTTGTTGTTGTTGTTGTTGTTGTTGTTGTTGTTGTTCACAAAGCCAAGGTCAGAGAGTGAAAGAGAATACAGATCTGAAACAGATCTATATTTTTCAACAGAAAAACACCTGGAAATTTTTATTTCTTTATGAGAACTGTAATGTAACGTTAGTAGAAATCATGTTATAAAATAAATGCTAATTTTGAAGCCTACAGGGGAAAAAACCCTATTTTGCATCTTTAGTGCAAAGATGTTGTGCATTTTCTTTACCAGTTTTGAAATAGACAATGTCTAAGAAATGAGAGCACCCCAAATTTCCCCAGATGCTTTGATCAAGAAAAATCAAACAAAAAGCACAGCACCTTTTGTTCTGCTGTCCAATTCTATTTTCATTGGCTCCTGAATTGCTGCAGCAGTGGGTATTCTTTTTCCAACTGTCTGTAAACATATAAGAATATAAACATATTTTATTTAACCAATGATTCCAGTGTGTGTGTGTGTTAGTGCATGCATAGCAAATACTATGCTTCACACATTTGTTCCTTGAATAAGAACATTAAAAAATCCAATTTAAGTATTGAAGTGATTCACTCAGTTCTTACTGACACAATTACCTTAAATGGCTAGTTAATCATCCCTTTCTGACCTCATAATTACATATTATTTTATGCAAAGGAAGTTCTCCTGTGTGTAGCCATATGAAGTATCAAAACTCTGTTGACATTTGTACGTCTCAGCATAACAACTTTGCAATAAGATATTCTAAATATCTTACTTAGAATGAAATAAGCATATCAAGACAAGCTTTAATAATGTATTATCCTGCAGTAATTCATTATGTAAGTGCCTGCAATTATCCAATAATATTTAAACTTGGGGTTAAAAAGTACAGGTTAAAGTTGTTCATTGACTATACCTAAAAGAAAAAACAGCACCTATGATTTATGATTATACAAAAGCTAGATATATAGACAGCATTTGAGTTGATGCTAATTTACTGGCTGTATACTGAACAAAAAGCCTGAAACAAATCATCATGAGAGATATTAACATGTTCTCTTATGTCTGTTACTTATCTATCTATAGGTAAGTGTAGCAGAGAAGGAAGCTGACATCTTGAGCAGCTCACCTTCTTGGAAATGCACAAAACTCGGAGCTTTTCCTGGAAAAATATAAACAGCAGAGGGGCAAAATGGAAATTTAGTCCCAGCTATAGACCATGACAAATGGAATGATTCAGGAGACCAAACACAGAGGACACATTTAAGGGTTTGCTTTTAATATATTCCCCCCCCCCCATTATCTCCCTCTCCCTCTCTCTCACACACACATTTTAGCTAAAGAAGACAATCCTCCCATAATTCATTAATACGGGGGTGGGGGCAGGAGTCAAGTGCCATTATGACAGTCTAGGAAGACAACTCAAATTTATTAAAGATGGGGCAAACCTATCTCATGAATTAATTAATTAGTTAAAATGCTTGTATACAAAAAACTCAGGGTGGCAAGGAAGCAAATTATCTTCTGGCAGGCTGTTTGTATGGAAAGTGAAATAGTTGATTTATGTTTGACAGTATAAAGTGGTGACCCTGACAACTAAATACATTTCTTTTAGATGAACATTACCCAGCCAGCAGGATCGCTAGATGTTCTTTTTAAAAATATGCGTATTAAGTTTGAATTACCAGTCCACTTTCTACATTCAGAACCCCAACAAGCATGTCCTTTATTCCAGCTCCCAAACATTTTACTAATTTATGTTTTTACTGTTTCATAAAACACAGAACAGCTACTATCTGTACTTTCAATTTTTCCCACTGAAACCAAATATATTGCTCTCCAACATTAAGCAAACTAATGAGGAATGCTATTTTTTTTTAGAAACCATTGCCAATCTCTGATGCATTTCAGAATACAAAGCACCACATATCTACCATCTCAGACACTTCAGACTTTCACTGTCACCAAATTTCAATAAGTAACACAATAAAAGAAAGGTGAAATTAAGGTAGAGATCACACTGAGGTTTTTGCTACCCTCCCATTCCATTTCCCTGGACTCGTACAATTATGTAGTATGTAAAAGCAAACTGACAGGCCTGAGTGGCTAAATAAATCAATTTAAAAATATGTTTTTTCTATTTCAACATAGGTCTCAAAGTCATAAATCTAGCTGATACTGTAGTCTTAAAATTATATCAATAATTTATAGATTAAAATGGGGAAGTGGAGGGAGACTTACAGAAGAATGCAAAGAGAAGCAGAGATTTTAACAAGATTACTGAAAACACTATTCATATGGAATTCAGCAAATACTTACAATTAAGATTCTCCGCTTTTGACTTTCATATCCAAGTTCTCATTTACACAAAATATTAAACATTATGTTTTAGCTGCTGCAGGATTTTTTTAAACACTCTTTTCATTAAACTCACCTTTAGACATGGTATTTGCATGGAATGAGTAGTAAACTCAGTCATACTTTGTTTCTTGTTTATACACTTCCCTGTATTTCGAAATTAGAACATTCACATTTCCACCTACCTCAATGGGACATATATGAATGTTCTATTTTAGTCAAGAGAAATGAGTAAACAAAGGGTACATATTATTTCCATTTTCTATTTCCTACCATTATTACTACATCTCAAACCACTCCCTGCCCTTCCTGTGCTTCATACTGCTCTGCTCCACATTTGCTGCCTTTGCAGCTCTGGTTTTCAGTGCTAAACTTTAGCACGTGCCTGTCCTGCGAGTTTAGAACACTCTAAGATAATAAATATGATAGTACATGTTTGTGTTTTTCATGTAGCATGTTTTACTGTGTTTTACATGTACTATCTTATATGTAAGATAGTAATTTCACCGAGTGAGCATTCCCCCAACATGCAACATGCTAGAGTTCATGCCAAAGTTGAGCATTTCAGGTTTCTACCAGTCAGATACTTATCAGACACACACACTTAGGAATCAACAGACTGTCTTGTATCAGTTTACTGTACCGAAGTCTGTATGACCAAACTCCTGAACAGTAAAATTGAATCAGTCATAGCATTCTGAAATATGACTATTAGTCATATTAAATATTCCAAGAGTCAGTGCTCCATACCAAGAGGTTCAATTGGAAAATTGAGCTGTATACTAAGATGTAGTGTATGAACAAAAGACTCTTTTAAGGTTTCTCAGGACACCAGAACTGTGGGTCAATAACTGAGTTTTAAAAATGCATGGAAAACCAGCTAGTCCTTTTTTCATGTATCTTGGAGTTGTGCCTTTTCTTTATAAATCAGGGCAGAAAATAAACAACCATAGAAAAGAGAGATGAATGAAGATTTAACTTCTTATGATAATAGCAGTGCAAGGTATGCATGGCCACATAGTAAGCTTATAGGATAGAAGTAGCTCAGTCTATTTGTATGCTTTTACAAGCAGCATACACCTTATTTCCAGATGTTGGGCTGTTGTCTGCATGTATTCCAGAACGATTTGGTTGACTTCTATCTACTGCAAGAAAGAATCTCTGAAAGGTCATGGAATTCATGCTCAGTGATGGATTCATCTGGTGTGAAATTGCTGCACATGACTAAGCTAACACAAAGGCAGTAAGGATCTTTTGAAGATACTATTTGTTGGACACCTATCATACAGAAAGTCCTTTAAAGATTCAAATGAACTGCTGCAATGAAGGCTTGGTCTTATGATAATCAAAGTATACATGTAGAGTCACACTTTTATTCCACATTCACTGGTACTATGTTATCTCAGGGAATGCCTTGCCCTTTCACTGAGATCATCAGAACAAGCATTTAAGAGGATGCTAAATACTCCTGAGGTTAACTTTACCAATTGACATTAGACAGAATCCCACACTTTAGACACCTTCTTAAAACCCTTCTCTTTACACAGACTTTTCCTGAAGTGTGACCTACCAAACTATGGTTTTAGCACACTGTAGTGTGTACAAATCTACTGCTGATTAACTATGTTATGTACTGTTTTATTGTTACTGTATTTTTGAGCATAGTGGTGGGACTTGGGAGATCCAAGGTCTTGTCCAAAGCCATCACTGGGGGATTTGGGCCAATTACTGACTCTCAGCCTATCCTACTTTACAAGGTTGCTGTTATAAAGATAAAATGGAAAGAAGAATCTTTCAAGCCACCTTAGGTTCCCTGCAAGAGGAAGAAAGGCGGGGTAGAAGTGTGACATAGTAGTAGTAATTATTTATTTATTTATTTATTTATTAAAACATTTTTATGCCGCCCCATTCGCCGAAGCCTCGGGGCGGCTTACAACACTAGATAATAATAGATGTTAAATGTGACTATACATTTATTATTTTTACACTTTCTGAACTTATTGATGATTGGTACAAGTGGAAGTAGTTAATGTTACGCAACTATTAATCTGTATAAGTAACTGAATAGTTTTATGTCAGAGAAACTGGCTCTTCAGAGAGTTTGGCTGCCCTGTAGAGTGGGTGAAAATGGCAATGAGGGAGGGAGTAATGGAAACAGGGAAATAAGGACTGTAGGCAAAAGGGCAAGGAGGCATTGGCAGGGTGCAGATGCAGCAGCAGGAGGGGGAGATGCAGACATAGTCAGCAAGATGGAAGACACACACAGTGGTGGGAGAAGGTAGCTCTTCTACTGAAATGATTTTGCAAAATTGGCTCCCATCTTGGAAACTGTGAAGACTGCTGAGATAGTATTTCAGATCCTGAAAGTACTTCAAATAGATTTTTAAAAATCTCACCACCATTCTTTGCTTTGTCTCCTAAAACTAAAAAACTGCTACTTAAAATCCTTACTGGATAAAAATATCCAATGATGCTGGAGCTATTTAAGAACAGACTTTCAAATTGCATGTTGCAAACTAAAATACTAAGTCTAAATTAAGGGTGAAAGAGGAGGAGGGTCAAATTATGTAGTATAGTAACTGAAACAAGATAGAAGTGTCACATTCTGAATTTTACAGTCCACCTTTCAAGTTAACCAAGGGAATGATAAGAAAACTTTAATATATCATATGCATGCATGCATTCATAGTGTATGTTACTCTGAATGTTGCTTAAAAAAGACTGACAATTTTATTTTTGAAATAAATATGGGTTGATGTGCAATTGGCAAGGGCTGTATTTGCTTTCTTCCTGTATACAGATCTCCTTTATCTGTTCCTGGCAGACGGAACAGCTTTTTAGAGCCAGTATGTATTAAGTCTCAAACAGCAGCACAGTGAGGAAAAAGCGTATCCTAAGCCAATCTCACATCTTAATAATTTCTCCTAATAAGGTGACCTGACCTGGAACTTAAAATTATTCTCAGTAAATCAGCTCTGAGGTATTGGTTTGTAGGGTTTGTAGGGAGAGGTGCACTAGTAAAAGACCTGGAGGGATTCTAGGCTGAAAATTTATGCATCGCACTGCGTAAGTCTCCAAGG